GAACATTATACTGGCTTTAAAAAAGGCGTCACAAATGACCTGAACTAAAGAGATTCTTTGTTCTAGTTTCTTCCAAAACACAGAACAAAGACAGTTACAGGACACTCACGTTGACGTCGCACAGATCTGGGACCGCCAGCAGCGACAGCAGAGGGTCCACGGCGCCGTGTTTGATCACCCGGTCCCTGAGAGCCGAGCCGTCCCCTGAGCACACGTTAGCATTAGCACCTCACACACAGCATTGCAAAATTCTGGGAATTTTCCTAAGATTGAAACTTTCCGTGGGAATTGTAGGAATACAAGAGAATTTTCTCATTTTAAGATTGGCTCGTCATAGGGAATTTTAAATTAGTTGAAAGTATTCTAACAATCTAAAATGCAGAGACTGCTGTGACCACGCCCCCTGCTGGCCCTGTGCTTCCATCACAGGCTCAGACCTTTGATACAGTGAAACTTTGACATCATGGGGAACTTTTCTATAAAATAAATCAGCTGAAAATCAGTTTTACTTTGACGTTTTAAGACTTTATGTTCTTGCTTGGATATAATCATTTCTTTGTGTAACATCACATGGAAACTTTCCGCCCCTGAGCCTCGTACCAGCGATGTTGCCCAGCGCCCACACGGCCTGCTCGCTGATGTGTCTGTGGGGGGAGGTGACTAGGCCGATGAAGGCCGGGATGGCCCCACCCTCCACCACGGCCGCCGTCTGGTCGGACGTTCCAGAGGCGATGTTGGTGAGCGCCCAGGACGCCTCGAACTGGATGGGAGCGCAGTCAGCAAGAGCCAGGAACGACACAAACTTCGGGATGAGTCCGGCGCTGATCATCTGGTTGATGGGAGGGTTACGATCCCGCGACAGCAGCTTCCTGCAAACCATTGTTTTAAAGTCGGTGAAAAGTTAAAACTACAGCCTCTGGGAGCGGGTCCCTCCCTCCCACAGGCCCTGAGGACATTTATGAACGGAGTTTATTACTGCAATCTCAGCGATTCTCTGATCTGTACAAATTCACAACTTAAAAAAGTTTGCAAAGACAATTGAAATATAGAATAAACTTCACTACCAGGACCCTCAAATTAAAAAACAGATTTCAAAGACAAGTAATTTGAATCTCTTGCACTGTTGAGTGATTGATTCACGCGACAGCCTCCTGGAGGAACATCCAGGTGATGTAACCACGGCAACTGGAAAACCATTTTTACAACTACCCTTATGTTGTTATGGAGTTACCTGGCGGCCTGTGTGGCCTGCAGCTGCACCTCAGAACTGCTGCCATTTACTCCGGCCACAATCTCCTCCACGCTCCACTGTCGGGCAGCCTGGACAGAGGGTCAGGGAAGAGAGGGTCAAGGATGTGAGTGAGTGGTCAAATAGTGACCTGTCATCCAATGTACTCAAGATCTAAACCAATTACACAGGCAGAGACACACACACACACACACACACTCACTTGTCCATTCTGACTCTTCTCCTGCAGCGGTGACGTGGCCTCGTCCGGAAATGACGCCACGTTCCTCCGTTTGAACATCTGATCATCTTTCTTGGCTTTGCGCAGCTCCACATTTCCTTCTACTCTCCTGCGGCGAAGTTCCTATCAGACAGTCAAACGAGTACATTACAGAGTGAAGGCAAAACCCGCAGTTACAAACACAAGTGTTAAGAAAAACAAATACTTACAGCCACATCTTTGCCTTTGTTCTTGAACTGCGTCAGGCGCTGTGTGTTTTCAGACATCGTCACGAGTTTAAGTGGTTTTGAGGTAAACGAATCTGAAACAAAACACACACTTCAACATATGCACCGCTTTTTCCCCAACGCAAAACTGACAGGGCTCAACATTAAATTCCAGAACCTACAACTTCCAGGAACGAATCAAACGTCAACACTTACTACTAGCAAAGCTACGGACATTTTAGCAAAGCCAGAGAGAGTAAATATCAGTAGATTAGCAAACCTGAGTTGGGGAAATAGTTAGCTTTCGTGTCGCGTGGCTGCTGTGCGCGCGAGCATATGACACCCGAAGAAAAGTTAGCAAAAAGACGCTGAACTGAGGTGAATACGAACGTAAATATAAACAGGACTAAGCCAGAAAAATATATTTAACTATGGATGAAAGTGTCCAAATGTACGAGATTTAAAGGTAGTTAAAGAGGTCTTACCCTGAGCTGAGGCTAAAGGTAGTGGTCTACAGACAGAGCCGGGCAGACATTTAAATTCACAAACTCTGCCATCTGATTGGTCCATTCGAGTCAAAACGCTCTAACGTGCGCGCTGATTGGCCCGTTCAAAAGATACAGCCAGTCCACGGTAAGATCGCGAGAACGCCATGTGTTCACGTTCAGATCTGACCCTGGATCAGCGGCTGATGCTCTGCTCTTTGAATGGGACACACTTATACAGTCTATGGACACACTGAGGGAGACACTGAGAGACACACTGAGGGACACACTGAGGGAGACACTGAGGGTGAGGGAGACACTGAGAGAGACACTGAGGGTGAGGAAGACACTGAGGGACACACTGGGGGTGAGGGAGACACTGAGAGAGACACTGAGGGTGAGAGAGGGGGTGAGGGAGACACTGAAAGAGACACTGAGGGTGAGGAAGACACTGAGTGACACACTGGGGGTGAGGGAGACACTGAGAGAGACACTGAGGGTGAGAGAGGGGGTGAGGGAGACACTGAAAGAGACACTGAGGGTGAGGGAGACACTGAGGGAGACACAGGGGGAGACACAGAGGGACTAAATGCTAAAGGCTTGTAACATGGATCTATAATATTAACGGGCTTGTAAACAGACAAACTGAGCTCAGAACCAGGACCTTGTGGAAAAGGGCTTTAACTGCTTCAAAGTGGCTGCTCTGGGAGTTCTGGAGTAAACATTTTGGATTATGGTGTTTGATCATAAGATTTATTCAATATTTTAGTGAAATGTCGTTAATGTCAAAAGTTTTAACCACAGATAACGATCATTGAATCAGCTCAAAACCTTATTTTAAAACCATACTCAGACTGTACAACGAACACTGCAGACCTCACCTCTTGCATCTGTGCAATAATTTGAATTATGTCAGACTGTGCAATAACCACATGTCTGTGTCCCAGAGCATCCTGTTGCTAACATGCTAAATTGTAAACATAGTAAATATTTATGACCTAGAATATACAGGGTTTATACTTACTTCTTTATTATGCTAAAGTTAGAGATTTTATTTTATTTAGTATAGAGTTAATGTTCATTTATCTTGTGCTGCTCCTCGTTCCTACTCTTCTGTAACGATGCAACACTGACATTTCCCCGCTGTGACAGGATCTCTTCCTGTAGGTCTCAGGTCTTGGTGGAGCATCAGTTGGAATAGTTAGCTGTGATTGTAAATGACAGATATGGAAAGAATCAAACATGAAGCTGGATCCGTTTCTCGCACGACTTTAAAGTGATGAGCAGAAAAGAAACACATTATAGACATATTTTAATTTATAAATCAGAGTTGCTGCCATAGAAAATGAGTGAACGAACTGTACAGTGTGTGTCCAGAGGGTTTGAAATGGACGCTCATCGCAACAGTCTACTGTACATTTACTGTTTTATTTACTATCGTTCTTCAAGTGATTAAAAAAAAGAGTTCAACAGCGTCACTTTTACAGCAGCTCAGTCTTTGTCCAAGAGTCACTTCTGAGTCTCATATTAACACCTCACAAACTGCTGCAGGAACGAGTCACACTGGAGGAAGATGCACACGTGGAATAGTCCCAAGGTCCTGGAGAGGTCCTGGAGCTGCACAGGTCCTGGAGAGGTCCTGGAGCTGCACAGGTCAAGGAGAGGTCAAGGAGAGGTCCTGGAGAGGTCCTGGAGGGCTACGTTTGAGCAGGAGGGTGGAGCTTGTTGTTATGAGACCTGCAGAAGGAGAGAGGACTTTAGGCTCAGGCTCCAGCTGTGATCAGGCTCTTCCCAAACCCATGAAAACTGTCAGAGCCACATCTGCTGCTCTTCTATCTCACTCTATCACACTCTATCTCAATCTTCTATCACACTCTATCTCAATCTTCTATCACAATCTATCATGTGTCATGTGTCGTACATGACACATACGTACTCGTTACGACTGAGTCCGACTCTAAGGTACAGTAAATGTGTGACTCTCAGGTACAGTAAATGTGTGACTCTCAGGTACAGTAAATGTGTGACTCTCGGTACAGTAAATGTGTGACTCTCAGGTACAGTAAATGTGTGACTCTCAGGTACAGTAAATGTGTGACTCTCAGGTACAGTAAATGTGTGACTCTCAGGTACAGTAAATGTGTGACTCTCAGGTACAGTAAATGTGTGACTCTCAGGTACAGTAAATGTGTGACTCTCGGTACAGTAAATGTGTGACTCTCAGGTACAGTAAATGTGTGACTCTCAGGTACAGTAAATGTGTGACTCTCGGTACAGTAAATGTGTGACTCTCAGGTACAGTAAATGTGTGACTCTCAGGTACAGTAAATGTGTGACTCTCAGGTACAGTAAATGTGTGACTCTCAGGTACAGTAAATGTGTGACTCTCAGGTACAGTAAATGTGTGACTCTCAGGTACAGTAAATGTGTGACTCTCAGGTACAGTAAATGTGAGGGAGGCTCAGAGCGATCAGTGAAAGGCGTTTATTGAAGAGAACCTGGAAAACACTGTTTCCAAGTCCAGCACTTTTTACTGACTTTTTGCCATTGCATAATTTTCTAAAACATTGAAACAGATAAAAACTGTACATTTACAACCGAAGCAGGAGTACAAAACTTATCATAAATAGCTCTTTCATAAAAAAACAATTCTGTAGTTAGTTATAAACACATGATGCACGAGTCCAAATAAATAGACTGAGCTAAAATGGAGAGATGTGATCGAGAGGAAGCCCGTGATGGAGGTGAAGGAGGCGAAGGAGGTGAAGGAGGTGAATGTTTAGTTTAGATCTTTTAGAGCTACAGCCACAGCTTCAGTCCAGACTCCTGCTAACACCGTCTTAATCAGAGTCTGACAATCTGCAACACACAAATGGGATGGTGTAAATGAAAGAGCACGGAGTCGCAGTCACGCACCGGACTGCAGCCCCCGGACTGCAGCCCCCGGACTGCAGCCCCCGGACTGCAGCCCCCGGACTGCAGCCCCCGGACTGCAGCCCCCGGACTGCAGCCTCCGGACTGCAGCCCCCGGACTGCAGCCTCCGGACTGCAGCCTTCGGACTGCAGCCTCCGGACTGCAGCCCCCGGACTGCAGCCCCCGGACTGCAGGCGGAGGACTGCAGGCGGAGGACTGCAGGCGGAGGACTGCAGGCGGAGGACTGCAGGCGGAGGATGAGAAACACAGGATTATATTCATGGGGTCACAACCCTTTTGTGAAATGAAAAAAGGGGAAAAAGCTCTGGGTGCTCAACAAACAAATATGATCAAAAACATTTAAACACAGTCATGGACAGTGGTCTCTGCTCCTCATGGACCAACGTCTGTTATTGTTGCATTTACTGTGTTTGCACTGTTTGATTCTCTGATCACTCACTATTTGAGACTTTGGGCTGAGAGCTGATTGGCTGAGAGAGGCTGGTCCTCTCAGAGCTGATTTAAAGAGCGACTAAACACCAAATCAACTTTTTTTAACTCATAAACTGCATAAATATGTTAATTGTAGTGCGCTCTACATATCCTGGTCATTTTTTTGACATTTTAGTTCAAATTAGATAAAATCTCACTTTTGAGCCAAAAAACGTCTGTGTGGCGCCCTCTCCACCTTTTTTGGTGGTACTACATTTGAATTTGGTCCTGGCCTCTCCATTGACTCTGAAATTCTCTGACGTCAGTTGGTGTGTGTGACGTCAGTTGGTGTGTGTGACGTCAGTTGGTGTGTGTGTGACGGCAGTTGGTGTGTGTGACGTCAGTTGGTGTGTGTGACGTCAGTTGGTGTGTGTGTGACGGCAGTTGGTGTGTGTGACGTCAGTTGGTGTGTGTGACGTCAGTTGGTGTGTGTGTGACGGCAGTTGGTGTGTGTGACGTCAGTTGGTGTGTGTGTGACGGCAGTTGGTGTGTGTGACGTCAGTTGGTGTGTGTGTGACGTCAGTTGGTGTGTGTGTGACGGCAGTTGGTGTGTGTGACGTCAGTTGGTGTGTGTGTGACGTCAGTTGGTGTGTGTGTGACGGCAGTTGGTGTGTGTGACGTCAGTTGGTGTGTGTGTGACGTCAGTTGGTGTGTGTGTGACGTCAGTTGGTGTGTGTGTGACGTCAGTTGGTGTGTGTGACGTGCGTCTGTCTGAGCCAGTGATATAAACTCATTCAACTCTCACACACGCCCCAGCTGCAGGTCACTACTGCTGCTGAGATAATTGTGTGGATTAGGTTCAGGTGTGTAGCTCTACAATTATCTTAGTGTGTAAAGGGTGGAATGAGACTTTCTGGTGTGTAAACAACTGTCATTGCTGCTACTGTCATCTTTTGTGTGACTGGTGAGCTGTCAATCACAGCCCAGACCACACCCAGCTCTAAGCCCCCCTTCTTGTCCCTTGGTCCTCAGGCAACGCTCTTTTAAGAGAAAATGTTCAAATGTGAAAACTAGCCACAGAAGGAAACTATCATGGATTTTTAATACATAGTTTGTAATTTCTGTGGTTTGAAAAAGGTGCATACAGACAGAAGGGTGAGGGGCTTATGCCAGACGTTATGTTGAGTTTCTTTCAATCCACTTTTTTCTTGTCTTGCCCTAAATCACAGCAGCAGTTTTCTGACTTTACAAAGCTGTGGATCAGAGAAGGTTCCTCAGTGTCGTCAAAGTCAAACGTCCTGATCAATCAAAAGAAACGATTAAAGGAGTAAATAAAATGTGCCTGTATCTGAGACAGACAGGAAGTGAGGAGACACCGACAGGAAGTGAAGAGACACCGACAGGAAGTGAGGAGACACAGACAGGAAGTGAAGAGACACCGACAGGAAGTGAGGAGACACCGAAAGGAAGTGAAGAGACACAGACAGGAAGTGAGGAGACACCGAAAGGAAGTGAAGAGACACAGACAGGAAGTGAGGAGACACCGAAAGGAAGTGAAGAGACACCGAAAGGAAGTGAAGAGACACCGAAAGGAAGTGAGGAGACACCGAAAGGAAGTGAAGAGACACCGACAGGAAGTGAAGAGACACCGACAGGAAGTGAAGAGACAGACAGGAAGTGAGGAGACACTGACAGGAAGTGAAGAGACAACGACAGGAAGTGAAATGATCAGTCGCTTTTTTGGACACCCAAAGACGCTTGTAGTGCTAGGACTCCCCCTGCTGGTGTGTGTGTGTCTCCATGGTTACCTGCTGGCCTTGAAGCCTTTGAGCTTCTGTACAAAGAAAGCCTCCAGGACCTCTGCGCACTGGAAGAAGGGCGTGTCGTTGGGGTTGTAGTAGCGACAGTTGTCGAAGATTTTGGTGACGTCGGCCACAAACTCAGTGAGTTTACGGTAATGTCGCTTCTGCAGCTGCTTCTCCATCGTGGCAAAGTCTGCACAGAGTTTACTTTAGAAGGTTCTGGAAACAGCAGCGAGTCTGACATTCTCTGAAACTGTTTTTTGTTTTTATAAATCGTTAATATTAATAAATGTTTCTATAGAACAGTGTTTAACACTGGTCCAGAGCAGAGACGATGGTCCAAAACAGATCAAGGAAATACACCGGAGGAATTATGTTTCATTGAAAAATGCATTCAGAATTTCAGAAGAATGGTGTGAACCAATCATCTGCTGTCATCACACGCAATCTGCTGTGACCAGGGAGAGACCAGAGAGAGAGACCAGAGAGAGACCAGAGAGAGAGACCAGAGAGAGACCAGAGAGAGACCAAAGAGACCATAGAAAGACCAGAGAGAGAGACCAGAGAGAGAGACCAAAGAGAGAGACCAAAGAGAGAGACCAAAGAGAGAGACCAAAGAGAGAGACCAGAGAGAGAGACCAGTGAGAGAGACCAGAGAGACCATAGAAAGACCAGAGAGAGAGACCAGAGAGAGAGACCAGAGAGACCATAGAAAGACCAGAGAGAGAGACCAGTGCTTGTACCCATTGGCTCCTTGATGACGCGGTAGTAGTCGGGAGCGTCGTGTGGATCCACCGGCTCCAGGAACGGCCAGGCCATTTTGTGCGACTGCAAATGGAAAACACAGACGTTTACAGCTTTAGGCCGAGGTTTAACCACAGAATTGGGAACTGTCGATCTGCGGGGTTCTGAAGCGTGTCTCCAGAATATTCAGATATAAACTTTAGTTACTTAAACACATGTAGGAGTCTGTGTTAAACCACCGTCACTAGATCAGACCTTTGTTAAAGAAAATATATTTATAGTTTGCCATGACTCTGCGGCGTCTGCCGTGACTCTGCGGCGTCTGCCGTGACGCTGTGATGCCTGAGCTCACCTGCAGGGAGCGCAGTATTCTCTTGAGGCCCTCACAGTCTTTGTCAGTGAGAGGAGACAGGACCGTCATGGCGTCCTCTGTGGACTGACACTGTGGACACACGTACAGGTCGATGTGAGTGGCCTCACTCTGCAGGATCCCCACACAGCGGCCGTGGAACCAGTTCTGACAGCGGTCGCAGCCGATGTAGAACCTGCACAGACAGAGGTGGCTTTAGAACCTTCTGGAAACAGCGAGTCCTCCCATTTGTGGTCATGGTTTTAACTGGTCCAGACCACAGACGATGGTCCAGACCAGACTCTGACACCATCAGCACCAGCTGCACTTTGTTATTATTGTTAGAAACTGTGTTTGTTTCAATGGATCTGGCTTTTTAACTATTTAGTGTTCAACAATTGAACACACACAGTTGTTTGTGTCTGTGTGAGTACGTACTGGGACTCATCGTAAGGGGTCCGGCAGATGCAGTACAGCTCCTCGTTGCTGCTGTCTCCTCCTCCACCTCCTCCTGCTCCTCCTGCTCCTCCTGCTCCCTCCTGACCGCGCTTGCAGTTGTTGCAGACAAAGTCCTCCAGCTTCTTGGCCTCCTTCTCCGTGATGCCCACACACGCCCCATGGTACCAGTTGGAACAAAGGTCGCAGCCGATGTAAAACCTGCGGCAAACACAGCGGAAGGAACACATCACCCCTGTGCTGAGGGAACACATCACCCCTGTGCTGAGGGAACACATCACCCCTGTGCTGAGGGAACACATCACCCCTGTGCTGAGGGAACACATCACCCCTGTGCTGAGGGAACACATCACCCCTGTGCTTCACTCCTGTCACATTCAGGGACACCCCAAGCACTGGCTACTGTAGCGCCCCCTGCTGGCAGCGTGCCCTAGATCCTCTATAAAGAGCTTTCAGCTTGTCCATAATACATAAGGATCAGAACAGACTTCAAAAGGAGGGAGCACATAACTCCGGTGTTAAAATAACTCCACTGGCTTCTTTGGAGTACAGAATTACATTTTTAAATCCTTCCAACAAACAAAGCCATAAATGCTCCTTCTGTGCTCCAAGACACATTAGTGTCAGACCAACGTCCACTGAATGATACTACTTCTTATTCTGCCAGATATGTTTATAACTTATACTATAAGCATTTACAGCCAAGAACCACAGCAGCTACTTATATTGTATATACTGTGTCTTAACTACTGTCCTGTCTGTGCGCTGCAACATTGTCATTTCCCCACTGTGGAAGATTAAAGGATCTGTGGGAGGTCTCTTACTTGGACTCGTCGTAAGGCGTCTTGCAGACACAGTATAGCTTGTTGTCCTTCTTGTGCTCCTTCGAGGTAGACGACTGCTTCTTCTTCTTCTTGTGCCTTGGGGGTCCGTGCGGGTGCTCTCTTTGGCGCTCTCTCTCCTGGTCCCTCTGCTGGTCCCTTTGCTGGTCCCTTTGCTGGTCCTTATGCTGGTCCCTCTGCTGGTCCCGGTCTCTCTCTCGGTCCCGGTGCTTGTCCCTCTCTCTCTTCTTGTCGTGATGCCGGTGCTTGTCTCGGCTGCGGTCTCTCTCGCGCTCCTCCTCGCGCTTGCGTTTATGCGGCGAGGAGGATGAAGAGGAGGAGGAGGAGGAGGGGGGGAGGGGAGCGCTGCTGTGGGAGGGGTGTGTGCTGGGAGGAGGCGCGGCGGCAGGAGGGGGGTGGAGGGGGAGAGTGGAGGAGTGTGAGGCTGCCTTCACCGTGGCGGCGGCGGCCTGGGCGATGGCGGCGCGTGCCTTTTCCCGCTCTCGCTGCAGACGCACAATGTCACGACGGAGCTCGTCCTGCGGCACAAGAGCAGACACGATGAGTGACACTTTCACCATTTCTGTTTTCCCTTTGCTCCAAAAACCATTCAGACCACTCTGGACCCAGTCCCACCTTTGGCTCCTCTCCAGTGGGATGAGCAGCTGCACTCTGAGCTCCTCTATCTCTTATGCCGCTTTTCCACAGTAACAGTACGGTACGGTTATTTTGCATTTCCACTAGGGTTGGGATCAGGGTACTTTTTTCGTACTACCTCGACAGTGGTTCCAAGCGTCTAAAGCTACACCATAACGTGACGTCAGCGACTGCCTCACACTGATTGGTCAATGAGTGTTATCACTGGAAGCAACGTCCGACCCTATGGTAACAACAATTCAACCGCCATCTTTAAAACCGGCTGCTCTGCTATAACCATGGATCTATAATAGTCTATAACCATGGATCTATAATAGTCTATAACCATGGATCTATAACAGTCTATAACCATGGATCTATAACAGTCTATAACCATGGATCTATAATAGTCTATAACCATGGATCTATAACAGTCTATAACACGTCCTCCTTCTCGGTCCTGGTCGGTTGATTATGTCACACGTTACTCTCTTTAGGTCGAAGAAAGAATTCAAAGGCAGCTCGAGGCACAACACGGAACGAGGTTTTCAGGGAGATCGCTCTGGATTTGTGACTAGTCTGTGGTAATCCTGAAATACAGTAACTGTTAGCTACGTTTTCCCATTAAAGCTCCCACTAAAATGTATTTACTGAAAAAGTTTGATTGTCTGTTGCACACAGACAATCAAAGCTGGACTGCCTCCTTGACGGCCCGGCCTTTTCTTTTTTCATGTCTTTTTTTTTTAACGTTTATTTTTACAGTATTCTTCGGATGCACATACTGTAGAGGCTCAGGATATATGCAGTTAAAGTGCAAAGATCTACTTAGAGATGAATAAAGATGTCACGCCAGAGTGAGGCAGACGGACACAGCACCATACTGTTTGTTACAGGGATGAGGGACATTTCAAAGAAATCTGAAATGTATGTCAGCCAATGGCTGTCATTAAATCTGTTTGATTCGCTCACAACATTTTACTTTTGGGCATAATCAACATGAACTGTTAATGCAAGAGGAAAATTTACGTACCCCAGCTTTAATTTAGCGAGTTTAGTTGCACTTTGGGAAGAGGCACAAGGAAGACGCTGTTTCTTGGAGCGCTGTATTTTCGTGCGTGAACCGGTTACGCAAAGACACGCACACAACAAGCACAGTATGGTCCTGGGTACATGGTCCTGTGGGTGTATATGGTCCTAGGTACATGGTCCTGTGGGTGTATATGGTCTTGGGTACATGGCCACATTACGGCTGCGCGCTGCCGTGCTGTTCTCAAAGCGGCGCACAGGCAGAACCGCTGTGTGAGAACTGCTGTCCAATGCGGCCACAGCTGCCCCAAAAGGCTGCGGAGGATGTGGAATCCCGTTCGAGTTCATTCGGCAATCAACAGCAAGTGCCCCGCGGTTATGATTTACGCATTTCTAAAAAATATATTTTTGTATGTGGCTCACAGGCCGGGTGTACCGGGCAATGCCCGAACGGCCGATGGCCAGTCCAGCCCTGATACCAAGCTAAACTAACGGCCTTCTACTGAGCTGTATTTTGCCCTTTCACGTGTTTCTGTTTTGTGCTTGTACTTAAGTTGTCGTGTGTATATTTATTTGTTTGAGAATCCCTTCCCACAAATGAGGAGATTACAAACGAGCAATGAGTGACCGGAGTACTTCACTTTCCCCTCATCTGGACCTGGTCTCAGACATACGTACTTTGGGCTTTGTAAACTGTTGGTTTTGCACTTTTGTTTTTAATAAATCTGTGATTGTAGGACTTTCATTCATTTGTACATGTGCAGAAAAGGGGTTCAAAAGTTACGATTTCCTACCAAATACTTTTACTTCTTTTTACATAACATACATTAGATTTGTCAGTAAACCCATATACCCTTGGTGAGTAAGAAAGTAAATTTTATTTATAGAGCACCTTTCACGGATAAAAAAGTGCTGTACAAGGTAAAAGCAGATATGCATATACGATAGAAATAAGAAAAAATAGAAAATAACATAAAAACAAGAAATTAACTAAAAGCTGTCCTAAAAAGAAGGGTCTTTAGTCCCTTTTTAAAAGCATCGGCAGAGTTGACCACACGGAGGGACAGAGGCAGGGCGTTCCACAGTCTGGGGGCCACGGCCTGGAAGGACCGGTCCCCCCGGGTCTTATAGCGGGTCTTTGGGACCGCAAGTAAATTCTGGCCTGTGGACCTCAGAGTGCGGCCAGAACAGTGTGGGGTCAAGAGGTCCGAGATGTAAGATGGAGCCTGACCATTTAAGGCCCTGAAAGTTAAAACAAAATTTTTAAAATCAATACGTAATTTAATTGGGAGCCAATGAAGTGAGAACAGGACTGGGGTGATGTGAGACCACCGGGAGGTTCCTGTTAAAAGTATGGCAGCGGAATTTTGCACAAATTGAAGTCTGTTAAGAGCACTCTTATTAACCCTCTAAGCACATGGGTCATTTTGGGGAACCTTCCTCGCCTGGTTTTCTTTGTGTATAATTGCTCATAAAACAGTCATATATGCAAATTATGGAATCATGGAGACCAAGAAAAACATCTAACGGAAAATCAATTTAACAAAAATGTACTGAAAAAACAGAATGAAATGCTATCAACAGCTTTTCAATGTTATTTGGGGTCATGGAGATAATGGGGGAAAAAATTTAATCTGTAACTATTATACTTTTTACAAAATTCCACTATAAAAGCAAAAAACACTGTACTCCTGATTAGAGCCCTGCACGGGCCTATTATCTGGGCCCGAGCCCGGCCCTGGCCCGAGGGGGTGGCGCCCCAGCCCGGCCCAATATGGTTTCAGAATTTTCAGGCCTGAAACCCGCATCAAGCCTGACTTTTTTTAATTTATTGTTTTACCTCCCATAACAATGTTTTAGCGTAGTATATAGTGCCACGCCCTGATATGAACCCAGGCTTGGCCAGAGGGCGGAGTTATACCTGGTAGTGATGTGTTGCAATGAGTTCTGTGTGTGCGGAGTGAGCGGCCGCAGCTGTATGACACACAGCTGTATGACGCACAGCTGTATGACGCACAGCTGTATGACACACAGCTGTATGACACACAGCTGTATGACACACAGCTGTATGATACACAGCTGTATGATACACAGCTGTATGATACACAGCTGTATGATACACAGCTGTATGACGCACAGCTGTATGACGCACAGCTGTATGACGCACAGCCGTATGACGCACAGCTGTATGACACACAGCTGTATGACACACAGCTGTATGATACACGGCTGTATGATAAACAGATGCTGCAACACACTTGTAAGTAATGTGTCGTCAATGACAACACTACACAGAACAACAAACACTGCAGTGTGATAGAACGCTATATTCAGTGGGTGCGTTTGTAAATGTAATCTGCCGCTCTGAAAGTGCCCAAGCCCGAGCCCGGCCCGTGTTCGAGGTCATTATAGGGTCATCGGCCCGAAGCCCGGCCCTCGGGCTGTCGGGGCCCTCAGGCCAAGGGCTCAAGTGCAGGGCTCTACTTCTGATGCCCTTCCTGAAGCAGTTTGTGATGCTGGGGTTGCTTCTGTATCACAGCTGTAAAAAACGTAAAACATAAGAAACTAAGAGAAAAAAAAGAAAGAAAAAAAAATACATATTTTTATATACATAATAAACACAATGTCATTTTACTGTATTTATTATCGTCTTTATCAATAATGCGCACTCTTCAGCCGGTAATTGCAATCGCAGCTGTAGTTTCAACCGTGGGACAACAAGTGCACACAGAGGAGTGAGACATCTCACTCTCTGACGATCTTTGGCAGTCCCCGTGTGTTTGTATCTCACAGCTGTTTGTACCTCACGGGTCACCGCTCAAAGATCCGATTGGACACGGACTTTCAGACAAACGTAGTTTCGGAAAGCCTTGAATGTGTACTTCACAGAGGAAAAAAAAGTAAGTTGCTACGTTTTACCGTTCGCGAGTAAATTGATAATTTGTAAAACATGTACTATGTCGCCGATACCCGCGTGATTATAAGGTTAAGACATGTAAACAATGAGTTGCAGTAGTCAAGACGTGTGTAAACAAAGGCATGAATGATCATCTCCAAGTCCTTCTGTGACAATATGTTTCTGAGATGATAAAAGCAGTTTCTAACGAGCTGTTTGCAGTGTGTGTCCAGATTCAGGGCCTGATCAAAAACAACCCTCAGGTTTCTGAGGGTGGATGTGACAGAGGAACCAAGTGAACCAAGTTGCTGTTTTATGTCTGGAATCTTATTGTCGAGGGCAAAAATCAGGGTTTCATTTATGAACAAGGATGGAGACATTTGCTAAATACAAAAAGGTTTTATTTTTAATATTTTAAATAAATGTTTAGGCATATGATTTTTATCATATAATTAGGCCAGAGCCCTGAACGGGGTAAGGGCCTATTGCTTTCACAATGGTGAATGCAAGGGGTGGCGGTGCGTGACGGACGCTGACTCACCACAACATGACGGTTGCGTGCGTAAACTCAAACGCTTTAAAATGATGTATCGTGTGCCATTGAAACCTATATTGTTTTTGCTCGAGAGATGTCAAAAAAAATTCCTTTATTTCTTTCTCTTTTCTCCTGCTCTTTGACCCTTAATTTGACCCCCTGAACATGCATGAAAACATGCCAAATTTTGCCCAAAAATCAGACCTGGCAAAAATTTTATTATTTTGGTATTTATTTTTATGGGACTCAAGAAATGGCGTTCGACGCCGCTTGCAGCTTTAACACTTTTATACTTCTCCTTTTTTGAGTTGATACTTAGATTTACAGTATACATATATTTTAAATAACAAAGTTATGTATTGAACTCAAATGAATAAATACATTTCATTTCAAATGACAAAGTGACGCATCAGACCAATGTTACTAGTTACGCGTCGCGCGTAAATGACGTGGTCTGACAACCCCTCCCACTCTGAGGAGAAACTGGAGGTACCATTTGTTATGGAAAAGCACCCACACTCGACCGTACTGTACTGTGCCGTGCCGTGCAGCGCAAAGACTATGGAAAAGCGGCATAAGGAAGCAGCCCCTCTCTGGAGGAGACTCATGTAAGCCGCTTCTATCCACGATCTCGTCATTTCGGTCAAAGCTTAGAACCAGAGGTGAGGAGGAGACTGAGATTGTAAACCCAGAGCCTTGGACAGATGTCAGACACAGAACACATCGCTGCAGACGATGCACTGACCTAAAACTCCCTCCTTCCCTCACTGTGAACAAGACCCTGAGGTAGAGCACCTTTTTATCCATGGCCTCAGATGTGGACGTGTTGACCTCCATCACAGACGCTTCACTCTCACTGAGACCAGGTGTGAGCAGACGGCCCCCTGCAGAGGCCGAGCTGGGGGCTGTGTGTGGAAGCAGCTCATGTCGGCATCTCTCCACTTCCTACATGAGCTCTTCCCCAGTGTTTCCCCACAGCCAGATGATGGTGAGGACCCGCCTGTGCCAAACTATTCACTAACGCTTCATAATAGGCTTTTGACCACACATAGTCTGACTCTGAGAGACCAGGACCATCCATCTCCAGTTTCCACAGCACCATGTTTCCAGTGGATACTGCAGCTGCGCTCTTAAACCGCCTGGACTGGTCTCAGTAGTATCCGAGTTCGCATAAAGGGTTGTGTGCGTCTCAGTGTTTGTTGTGTGTGTTAGACCTGGACTTGCAGCTGCAGCTCCTTGTCCAGCAGCGCTCTCTTCTTTAGGATCTCCGCCTTCAGCTGCTCCTTGTGCTTATAGAGGAGCGCCGTCAGCTTGGAGGCGTTCTGCTTGTAGCGTTTCTGCTCCACCACCTCCTCCTTCTTCCTCTTCTTCGCCGCCTGCTTCTCGTCCTTCTCGATCTTGTCCAGGAGGAACTTCATCACCTGGTTGCACACGATCATCCTGCACACACAGCTCAGTTAGTTCCAGGTAACCCTAACCCTCGGTGTAGAAATGAAAACACTCACCTCTGGTTCTCCTCCCTCTCCGCAGCCGCTTGACATTTCTTCTGCTTCAACAGCTCTGCAGCCGAAGTCTTGATGGCCGCCTGAAAACAGAGGCTCTGGTGTCAGGCTTAGACGTGGGTTTGCCCTTTACTTTACTTTAGAACTCTATAAAGGCAGTGAATTATTTAATACAACCTGAGGTTGGAGCATGAAGAAACTATGAGTGACGTCACACATGGCGTCTTATTGCTCAAACTCCCACAGACACTGATCAGGAAATGCCTCGAGCTCAGGAACCGTGTCACGCTCACCACAGTTTAATATTAAAGCTAGTGAATACATGAGTCATAATGGTTGACCTTATTCGTCTGTGTAAACTCTAGCAGTAAACATCTGCCTCTGCTGTTGAAACAAATGCCCACATAAGGAAATTGGCTACAAATCTAGCTCATATGGCCACTGTTCAAATCAGCTTCTTTCCGGATTCGGCAAACACTATGGGTCAGGTTAGTCTGCTCCTTCTCTCTACTTAACTGTCTGAGGTTCGACCTAAGGTTCTGCTGCATCTAAATACAGCGTAAGCTTCACCTTGTTGTTGTGTCCGTCCCTCGCTGCTGCAGCCTGCAGAGGGAGCTCTTTGTCTCTCTTGCTCTCTGTGTGCTTCTTCTTCTTTGGTGGCGTCGCAGCTTGCTGCTGCTGCTGCATGCGCTGCAGCTGCTCCTGGACTGTGGGTGGAGCCTGGATGGTCACCATGTTCTGAATGGCGCCCCCTGCAGTCTGGATCTGGATGGGGAGCTGAAGTTTGATCTGCTGGGGGACCGCCCCCCCCTGCTGCTGGGCCTGGGCCTGGATCTGAGCCTGGATCTGTGCCGCCACGTGGGGAGGCAGGGCGGAGAGCAGCTGCACAGGCTGCTGGAGGCCTGGCACCGTGATGAGCTGAGTGTGGCGCAGCGGGGACTGCACCTGGAGCTGGCCTGGGACTCCAGGGGGACTCTGAGGCTGGAACTGCACCTGCAGTTTGGCCTGGACGGGGGGAGACTGAGGCAGGAGCTGAGGGGAGGCGGGGGTCTGCGTCTGGCCTGGCTGCGGCTGCTGGAAGTGGACTTGGACTGGCCCATGGAGCTGGGTCTGATGTGGGACTGGAGACTGGACCTGGGATTGGAATGGAGGCTGGAGCCGGGTGGGACTCTGCACCTGGGGGAGGCTTTGGTTTTGAAACTGTACCTGGAGACAAATGAAATGGTTAGGAAATATTTGGTCAATAATCCAAAAATAATCCATCCCCTACCTACCATGACATTGAAATAACTATTGCATAGAATTGCACTAATTTAGGCCATAAACCATCTGGTGTACAGTACTTTCTGGACTAAAAGGTGCACCTTTATATAAGCCACACCACCTACAGTTGAAATGAAAATCATCATTGTCCACATACAAGCCTCACCTGAAGATAATGTGCAGGTTTTCATGTTTAATGTAGAGAGACGTCTGTTTTAACTGGACACAACAGGATTTCAACAGCTTTACCTTTATTATGAGAGATTGTATTTTAATATAGAGTTATTGCTAATTTATCTTGTGCTGTGTGCTCCTCATTCCTACTGTTCTGTACCTGGTGATGCAACACTGACATTTCTAGACCATGGAAAGACATGGACCTGCATCTGTACCTCCGTCTGTACCTGTGTGGCTGGATGCAGCTGTGCTCTGGGCTGAAATTGGACTCGGATCTGTCCTTGTGCTTGGTTCTGCAGCTGCTGCTGGACTTGTCCAAACTTCTGCACTTGTATCTGAGCACGGATCTGAGGCGCTGCTTGTGTCGGGCTCTGGAGGTGAGTCTGTCCAACGGTGGTCACGACCGTCGACACTGGCAAAGCTTTGATGTGCATCGCCACGGACGACACCGGGATCTGTGCAGAGGACGTTTGCATCTGCGACGTCTGTATGCGGGAGAACTGGGAGATGGGGACTGAGAGCTGCGATGTGGGGACCGAGAGCTGCGATGTGGGGACCGAGAGCTGCGATGTGGGGACCGAGAGCTGCGATGTGGGGACAGAGAGCTGCGATGTGGGGACAGAGAGCTGCGATGTGGGGACAGAGAGCTGCGATGTGGGGACAGAGAGCTGCGATGTGGGGACAGAGAGCTGCGATGTGGGGACAGAGAGCTGCGATGTGGGGACAGAGAGCTGCGATGTGGGGACAGAGAGCTGCGATGTGGGGACAGCGAGCTGCGATGTGGGGACAGAGAGCTGCGAAGTGGGGACCGAGAGCTGCGAAGTGGGGGCCGAGAGCTGCGAAGTGGGGGCCGAGAGCTGCGAAGTGGGGACCGAGAGCTGCGAAGTGGGGACCGAGAGCTGCGAAGTGGGGACCGAGAGCTGCGAAGTGGGGACCGAGAGCTGCGAAGTGGGGACCGAGAGCTGCGAAGTGGGGACCGAGAGCCGCGAAGTGGGGACCGAGAGCTGCAAAGTGGGGACCGAGAGCTGCGATGTGGGGACCGAGAGCTGCGATGTGGGGACAGAGATCTGCGATGTGGGGACCAGAGCACCTTGGGTCATCTGGGAGACAGGAAGCGGAGAGGACTGGATGGTCGTAGCGGTCGTCACCGTGGAAATATGAGGAATTTGATGGGCCTGAATCTGGGAGACTGAAATCTGAGAAACTGGAATCCGGGTGACCGGTAACGGAGAAGTGGGAATGATTGCGCCTTGCATTGGTGCAATTGGAAGTTGCGGGGGCGGACTCTGCGTTTGTGGGATCATATGTGCTTGAATGGGGGACACAGGGAGGTGCGGCACCAGGAGACTGTGTGGCTGAATCTGTGCGCTCGATACTTGGGAAATGGGCGGCCGCTGGATCGGATGCGGTTGGAGTGCGGACGTGGGAAGAAGCTGAGGCGATTGGATTTGCGTCAGGAGTTGGCTTTGTGGCTGGATCTGTGGCCGTAGCAGTGAATGCGTCTGGATCGTGGATCCGGGAAGCTGCAGGGACTGGATTTGAGCGGTCGTGACTTGGGTAATTTGAGGGCATGTGATTGTATGCATTTGTATCGGGGACACAGGAAGCAGAGAAGACTGGTTTTGGGACACAGGAAGCAGAGAGGACTGGTTTTGGGACACAGGAAGCAGAGAGGACTGGTTTGGGGATACAGGAAGCAGAGAGGACTGGTTTGGGGACACAGGAAGCAGAGAGGACTGGTTTGGGGACACAGGAAGCAGAGAGGACTGGTTTTGGGACACAGGAAGCAGAGAGGACTGGTTTTGGGACACAGGAAGCCGAGTTACTTGTGAGAGCTGCGGTCGCTGAATGGGGGCTTGCATTGGGGGCAGGGTAAGGGGAGCCTGGAGCTGGCAGGTGGGTATGAGGGTGCGTTGACCGGCGGACATGGGAAGCTGAGGCATCTGCATCAGTGTGGTCGTTGCTTTGAGAGGGGCAGCGAAGGTGGAGACGCTGGCCTGCTGGACCGTCTCGGTCTGGGTCTGGGTCTGGGTCTGGGTCTGGGTCTGGGGCTGGGTCTGGGGCTGGGTCTGGGGCTGGGTCTGGGGCTGGGTCTGGGTCCAGGCTTGAGGAGGTGCAGCTCTTGGTTCTGTCAGAACTGAAATCAGATTCAATCATTGTTTATCAAATGTGCAATAGATAGATGTAAACGATAACTTCTGGTTTTGGGCTCAGAAAAGGGACACAGCATTGAACAAATGTCAGCAGCAACTTAAGCAAAATACATATTATGCTAATAAAGCTTTGTTTCTACTGGTTCGGAACATTTTCTCTGCACTGCTTACATAATAAAAAGCAGAGCAGAGAAAATGGTCGGATTCATTCGCATCAAATTCCTCATGTTTCCACGATGACGACCGCTACAACCATTCGGTCCATCATCTCATAGTCGGCCATTACATCACCGCTATACACATGAATGTAAACAATAGAAAATCACTAAGGTCTGTAAGGCCTTTGACCCCTGGCCTAAAGACTACATGGTTTAATAACATCAAATCAATGAAGTTCTCCTTCACACTGTACCTGGCACAGAAGGGGTGGTGGCCGTGGCGGTGACCGGCGTGACCACGGCTGCATGTGCTGGAGCCCTGAAGGAGGCTTGTAGCTGCGCTCTAACCGGAGAGGGCGAAGCCTGCGAGACCCCCATGAGAGGGGCAGACACCAGGGCCAGGGCCGGGGTGGGCACAGGCACGGTCAGGGGGATGGTGGCTGCTACCACACGGGCAGTGCTCATCACGGTGAGGGGAGACATCTGAGACACAAGCTCCTGGGACGGGGTCAGCACCTGGGACGGGGGTCTGAGGGGGGATGGGGGTCTGAGGGGGGACGACTGTGTGAAGACTTGGGGGAGGTTTGGGGGTCGGATCATTGCTGCTGGAGGAACCATGGGAGCAGACAGTTGAGAGCTGGGAGTTAAAGCTTGCGTAGTCACAGGCGGCTGGAGAAGCGCCTGGATTTGCGATGGAGCAGGAGGTTGTGGAGCAGGAGGAGCAGGAGCAGGAGCAGGAGCAGGAGGAGCAGGAGGAGCGGTGTGTATCTGGTTGGTGGTTTTGGGCAGAATGGGGGAGGGAGTAACAGGACAGGGCTGTGATATGGGGACAGAAGCAGACATGAGTGTCTGTGGCAGTGAGGCGGAGGGAGTGGTCTGGGCGGGTGGGCGTGGCTGTATGGGGGTGGGCTTGGTGGGGGTCACTGCAGGGGTGGTGGTGGGGGTCACTGCGGGGGTGGTGGAGGGGGGCAGAGGAGTGAACAGGAAGCGCTGCACTTGTCCGTTGGGCATGGCGGCCTGCATCAGCTGCTGTCCCGGCCCTGGGATCACAGTCACGCCCTGGGGCACGATCTGCAGCTGTCCCTGGGTCTGGCCCTGGCCCTGGATCACCACCGTCAGACCGGGGTTCCCCTCCTGCAGGTGGGGGGAGGACACATACGAATTTATTTCATTTTTGTAAAGCCCTAAATCAAAACCGAAGTCATGTCTCAATATTTGACACCCAGAGACAGGGCTGGTTTACCTGAGCGCTCTGTGTGAGCTGCAGGAGCTGGGCCATGGTCAGTTTGACCTGTCCCTGCTGGGGTTTGGGGGTCTGGGAAGCCGTGGGGGGAGCAGAGGCAGGGGCTGCTGCTGTCTGAGGGGGACCTGAAAAACAACAAATGTTTTAGCCGATAATAACCATTGTTCAAATCCACATTAGAAGAGACGCCTATTTTAGAAGGATGTGAGTAACTTTGCACATGTCGTATTATCAATTAAAGCATCAGACCTTGTGGACCAGGTGGAGCACCAGGTGGAGCACCAGGTGGAGCACCAGGTGGAGGGGGCTGAGTGGCAGCTGGAACGGCCTAGAACAGAGCAAGGAGGGAGTTAGTTTCAGAATCAGAATTCTATTCACCACTGTAAGTAACAAAGACCGAGGCTGCTGTGGCTCAAGAGTAAATGGAAAAGACATCACAGAAAGTTACTATAAACATAAAAGATATTCCTTTATGATGAGTGCTGTCGTGTGAGTCCAACAATAAGTGTGGTGCTGTGTGGTGCTGACCGGGGTGGGGGTGGGCGCGGTGGAGGCGGTGGAGGCGGCCCGCAGGTTCATGTTCCCGGTGGTGGGGTGTAAAGTGCTGTAGGTCCTCAGGTTGGCGGGGGGTCCGGCCGGGAAGATACTGCTGCTCTTCTGGTTCTCTGGACACAACAAAGACACGCCTCTAATCAGCATCAGCGCTGATGGTACTGATGATACTAGGGCTGGGCGATATGGCAAAAAAAAATAATCTCAGTTTTCTTCACACATTTTTTCTATTTAAAAACAAACTACAATTGACAAAGAAATAGATTTTCCTTTATGCAGTTTAATCTAAATCCCCATGGAGCAAAAGTGTAAGAGGAAATAAGCCTTAAAACATGCTTGTAAACAAGATGGCGCTGCCATTGTAAAACAGTGAAAATGTAGCGTAACAGTTTTCTAATAACTTCACTTACAGTGACACAATCCACCTTCAAAATAAATTCAAATGCACAAACGAGGGCCATAGCAAATATATCAATCGTATTAAACACATGCAGTATTTACATGAAATATCACATTATTAAAACGGATTACTCAAAATACAAATGTTATAACAGAGAAAGTCTTTTACAAAATCCTCCTCCTCGGGTTTTCATGCTTGTTCTTTCAACTGTGCCTGAGTAACTGTGCTGTAGTACAACGCTCGGTCCAGCTGGTGGCGCTAATACTAACTTCAGTGACTATCTCATTGTCAAGAGTTAAGTTTCCTGTTTACATTCTGCCACTGTAGATAACAGCTACTGTAGCTAACAGATAGAGCAGGGAACACGTTGTTTGTATCAGAGCAATGAGAGCAATGTGTGAGACGTGTCTTTCCCCAAAGTGCAGCGGCTCAGTGGGACACGTGTGTGTGCGCGCCGCGGACACGGGACGCGCTTTGGAGCAACGAGCGTGAGCGCTGAGAAATTAATGACAATGAAAGACGACCGGAGCCTGCCTGCCTGCGTGTGTGTGTGTGTGTGTTCTGGCAATTAAATAAAGACCGATTCTTTCAAAATGACTGCTCAACACCTGCGGTTAGCGTGTTAGCAGTGTACCTCTGCTCTGGAGAAAAAAATTGATTTTCAATAAAAAGATTTCGCCCTAAACGTCAAATTTGACTTAATAATTCACATTTATTTATCGCCCAGCCCTAGATGGTACTGATGGTCCATACACACAATGGACAGAGCTTTGTTAGGGCTGGGAACTGGCACAAATGTGAAGATTCCAAAGGATTGTATCCATTTAATGTAAAATATCGCGAGACTGAACAGAATGTGGATTATTGTCCAAAGAGAACATTTATAATAACTGTGATGTTAAGTATTTGTTCTAGTGCACAACCTTTAAATACACCTGTTTCAAAAAGGACGTAAATGCTGCTGCTGATGTACCTGCTGCTTTACCTGGTGTTTTACCTGCTGTTCCTGCTGATGTGCCTGCTGATTTACCTGCTGATGTGATTGCCGTTTTACCTTCTGCTGTACCTGCTGTTTTACCTGCTGATGTACCTGCTGTTTTACCTTCTGCTGTACCTGCTGTTTTACCTTCTGCTGTACCTGCTGTTTTACCTGCTGATGTACCTGCTGTTTTACCTTCTGCTGTACCTGCTGTTTTACCTGCTGATGTACCTGCTGATGTACCTGCTGTTTAACCTGCTGATGTGCCTGCTGATTTACCTGCTGCTGTCCCTGCTGTTTTACCTGCTAACTGATTTACCTGCTGATTTACCTGCTGTCCCTGCTGATTTACCTGCTGTCCCTGCTGTTTTATCAGCCAATTTACCTGCTGATGTGCCTGCTGTTTTACCTGCTGATGTACCTGCTGTTTTACCTGCTGATGTGCCTGCTGTTTTACCTTCTGATGTACCTGCTGTTTTACCTGCTGATGTGCCTGCTGTTTTACCTGCTGTTTCACCTTCTGTTTTACCTGCTGATGTGCCTATACTTATTATTTATTATATATTATTATTATTATATACTTTTTATCCTGCACTATTTAACTGTACAGTATATAACTGCACTACTACATATATATATTTTGACTGGTATTGAAGCATTTTCAGCATCTACAGCTAGTTATGTTAAGAAACATAGCTACTACTTATTTGTATATAGTGTATATATTGTGTGTGATCCCTGTGTCTCTTACTACTGTCCTATATGTGCGATGCAACATCGAAATTTCCCCACTGTGGGACGAATAAAGGAATTCTTATCTTATCTTCACCTTCTGTTTCACCTTCTGTTTTACCTGCTGATCTGCCTGCTGATTTACCTGCTGATGTGCCTGCTGTACTGCTGCTCTTCACCCAGGACATGTAGGACTGTTCAAAGTTCTTCTCGGGGGTGAAGGGGGCGCCAGGTTTGGAGGACATCAGCATCTTGGTCCCAGAGGTGACGAGCCTGGGCCTCTGGGGGTTGGACACAGGGGTGCTGGGGGAGGCGCTGGGGGAGGCGGGGTTGGATTGGCCGGAGGAGGTGGAGGTGGCCTGAGAGGGGGAGCCGGAGGAGGTGGGGGGGAGGAACCTCTGCTGCTCCAGGCGTTTCTACAACAAACAAAACAAATGAACAAATAAACAAACTGTGAGCCTGCTCCTCACTGACCTGCTGAACCTCCTCTTCACTGACCTCCTCCTGCACCTCCTCTTCACTGACCTTCTCCTGCACCTCCTCACCTGCTGCGTCTCCTCCTGCACCTCCTCACCTGCTGAGCCTCCTCCTGCACCTCTTCACTGACCTCCTCCTCCTGCACCTCCCCACCTGCTGAGCCTCCTCCTGCACCTCCTCTTCACTGACCTCCTCCTCCTGCACCTCCCCACCTGCTGAGCCTCCTTCTGCACCTCCTCTTCACTGACCTCCTCCTGCACCTCCTCACCTGCTGAGCCTCCTCCTGCACCTCCTCTTCACTGACCTCCTCCTCCTGCACCTCCTCACCTGCTGCACCTCCTCTTCACTGACCTCCTCCTCCTGCACCTCCTCTTCACTGACCTCCTCCTCCTGCACCTCCTCACCTGCTGCACCTCCTCTTCACTGACCTCCTCCTCCTGCACCTCCTCTTCACTGACCTCCTCCTCCTGCACCTCCTCACCTGCTGCACCTCCTCTTCACTGACCTCCTCCTCCTGCACCTCCTCACCTGCTGAGCTGCCAGTCTGGCCTGTTTGAGCTGGTTCTCCAGGTGAGCCTTGACCTCCTCCACAGTTTTCAGAGACGCTCCGATCTTAGAAGGATCTGCTCCTTGTGCTTTCTCCCTCTCCAATCTGTGGACACACAATACCACACATTAACACAATATAACACACACATAAATACACATGATAACACACAATAAGGATCTGCTCCTTGTGCCTTCTCCCTCGCCAATCTGTGGACACACAATAACACACATACATACACACAACAACACATACATACATACACACAATAACGTGCTAGCACACAATGCTAGCTGCTAGTATGAATGCTAGCTATTAGCATAAATGCTAGCTGTTGCCATGTGCAACCATGGATCTAGCTTATAGCTGTCCCACCCATGGGTACAGGGGGCGCCTGTGGTACTGCAGACTAAATTAACTTTACCCAGAAAAAAGGCCCATAGAACTGCTGTTTTACCTGCTGATGTGCCTGCTGTTTTACATAGAACTCAATGTAAATTAAAACAGCACGACCTCAGCTGACAGAGAACCTACAGCTTTCAGAAATATCGGATTTTGTGGGGATTTTAGTGTCCCTTGTCATCCTGAACCTTCTGTTTTCTTTAAATCCACACTTTACTGCCACAAACTCTGCTCCTTTCCTTCCCGGTCTGACTCCGCTCTGCTGCTGTTCTGATCAGCTGCTCTGATTGGTCAAAGCACAGCCGACCCCCTCTGTGCACGTGCACAAGAGCCACACACGCTCGTCCACCGGGAGGACCAGACGATGCCCAAATACAGTCGAGTTCTGCTCATCTCCCGGTCTCCGTGAAGTCCCAGGCGCTACTGAGCACAAGCCATTCATTTGAATAGGGCGCCATCTTGGATCACCGGGGCTTGTGTGTAGCACAGACCTCTCGGCAAAGGCTCGTATCTCCCACAGCTCCAGCTCCTCCTCAGAGATCCAGGTTTCCACGGCGACGGGCCCCGACTGTTTGGCCGCCTCCTGCTGCTTCTTGGGCCTCAGGGCACTGGAGCGGAGGCCCTTCCTCTGCGGAGTGGGGGCCTCAGCTGCAGGAGCAAAACCACATCAGCTCAGGTACACAGCCCTCAGGTACAGAGTGTGCCTCAGGTACAGAGGCACACTCTGTACCTGTACCTAATTATATTATATTATATTATATTATAATATATATTAACGGCTTATTAAACGAGCGCGAGGTCTGTACAGACCGAGCAAGCGAGGTTAAATGTTTTATTATATGACTATATTTAATTTGTGCAAATATCAATTGGTTTCAACTGCAAAAACACATGCAACCAAACTGTCAAACTGTGACATGAACTTCTCAGATGATTGAGGCGCCCGCTGTAAGTTCTCAGTCTCTTCTGTCTTTGCCAATGCTTTTTACTTATTTGTGAAGTATGTTCATGTCCGACTTGGTTTTCCTTATCCTGTTTTTACCTTTCTGATCTGTAACAAAGTTGTCGATCTCTTCTTGACTGTGAGGAGTTGTGTTTTTGACGTTATTTGCTGTTATTACTTCCTCTGGCTCTTCCAACTCGTCCTGATAATAGAATTAACTGAGAATGCTCCCAGTCGTCGCTCATTATTTGTTTTTTACTGAGGAAATCGTCATGGTAACGGTCCGAGATAGGAAGTATCAGACCGCAAATCAGCCAATCAGAGCGCGCATACGATCCAAGTCATATAATAAATACAGAGCCTTGCGAAAGTATTCGGCCCCCTTGAACCTTTCAACATTTCAGGCTTCACACATAAAGATATAAAATAAAAATGTTTTTGTCATGAATCAACAACAAGTGGGACACAATCGTGAAGTGGAACAAAATTTATTGTATAATTTAAACTTTTTTAACAAATAAAAAACTGAAAAGTGGGGCGTGCAATATTATTGGGCCCCTTTACTTTCAGTGCAGCAAACTCAGTCCAGAAGTTCAGTGAGGATCTTTGAATGATCCAATGTTGTCCTAAATGACTGATGATGATAAATAGAACGCACCTGTGTGTAATCAAGTCTCCGTATAAATGCACCTGCTCTTTGATAGTCTCAGGGTTTTGTTTAAAGCGCAGAGAGAACCATGAAGACAAAGGAACACACCAGGCAGGTCCGAGATACTGTTGTGGAGAAGTTTAAAGCCGGATTTGGATACAAAAAGATTTCCCAAGCTTTAAACATCTCAAGGAGCACTGTGCAAGCAATTATATTGAAATGGAAGGAGTATCAGACCACTGCAAATCTACCAAGACCCGGCCGTCCCTCCAAACTTTCATCTCAAACAAGGAGAAGACAGATCAGAGATGCAGCCAAGAGGCCCATGATCACTCTGGATGAACTGCAGATAACTACAGCTGAGGTGGGAGAGTCTGTCCATAGGACAACAATCAGTCGTGCACTGCACAAATCTGGCCTTTATGGAAGAGTGGCAAGAAGAAAGCCATTTCTCAAAGATAAAAAGTCTCGTTTAAAGTTTGCCACAAGCCACCTGGGAGACACACCAAACATGTGGAAGAAGGTGCTCTGGTCAGATGAAACCAAAATCGAACTTTTTGGCCACAATGCAAAACGATATGTTTGGCGTAAAAGCAACACAGCTCATCACCCTGAACACACCATCCCCACTGTCAAACATGGTGGTGGCAGCATCATGCTTTGGGCCTGCTTTTCTTCAGCAGGGACAGGGAAGATGGCTAAAATTGATGGGAAGATGGATGGAGCCAAATACAGGAGCATTCTGGAAGAAAACCTGTTGGAGTCTGCAAAAGACCTGAGACTGGGACGGAGATTTATCTTCCAACAGGACAATGATCCAAAAGATAAAGCCAAATCTACAATGGAATGGTTCACAAATAGACGTATCCAGGTGTTAGAATGGCCAAGTCAAAGTCCAGACCTGAATCCAATCGAGAATCTGTGGAAAGAGCTGAAGACTGCTGTTCACAAACTCTCTCCATCCAACCTCACGGAGCTCGAGCTGTTTTGCAAGGAAGAATGGCCAAGAATTCCAGTCTCTCGATGTGCAAAACTGATAGAGACATACCCCAAGCGACTTGCAGCTGTAATTACAGCAAAAGGTGGCGCTACAAAGTATTAGCGCAAGGGGGCCGAATAATATTGCACGCCCCACTTTTCAGTTTTATTTGTTAAAAAAGTTTAAATTATCCAATAAATTTTGTTCCACTTCACGATAGTGTCCCACTTGTTGATTCTTGACAAAAAATTTAATTTTTATATCTTTATGTTTGAAGCCTGAAATGTGGCAAAATGTTGAAAGGTTCAAGGGGGCCGAATACTTTCGCAAGGCCCTGTGTGTATATATATATATGTACACACATAACAAAAAGTGTGTGTGTTCGTGTAAGTGCGTGCTGCAGGTGTTAGTCAGTGTGTGCGTGTGTTGTAGTAGTAGTAGTAGTAATCTTTATTTATATACCGCCTTTTCACTGCACATCTGAGTCTCAAAGCGGTTTACAATTGTTAATTTTGGGCATTTATCTCTCACTCCACACAGAGATGGGAGAGGGGTCGCCGAACAGGAGGCGCATGCCAGACATGCCTATTGGACATATTTTTAGTGGTAGGGGAAACCGGAGTACCCGGGGGAAACCTACGCAGACACGGGGAGAACATGCAAACTCCACTCAGAAAGGCCCTGGTCCGACCGGGATTCGAACCCAGGACCTTCTTGCTGAGAGGCGAGAGTGCTATCCACTCAGCCACCGTGCCGCTGTGTGTGTGTGTGTGTATAAATAAATAAATAAAGTGTGCTGCAGGTGTTAGTCTAACAGACTGGAGGCCGTACCTTTGCAGGACTCGCGGTTCACTAATGGACAGATGATCTTCCGGACGCAGTACTCTGAGCAGATCCCAAAAGGCCCCACGTCTCTGCGCTTTATGATCTCTGTGGTGATGATGTCTGTCTCTGTGGTCTCTGAAACACATGTACATGTTAGCAGGGACACACGTGTACATGTTAGCAGGGACACACGTGTACATGTTAGCAGGGACACACGTGTACATGTTAGCAGGGACACACGTGTACATGTTAGCAGGGACACACATGTACATGTTAGCAGGGACACACGTGTACATGTTAGCAGGGACACTCATACATGTTAGCAGGGACACACATGTACATGTTAGCAGGGACACACATGTACATGTTAGCAGGGACACACGTGTACATGTTAGCAGGGACACACGTGTACATGTTAGCAGGGACACACGTGTACATGTTAGCAGGGACACACATGTACATGTTAGCAGGGACACACGTGTACATGTTAGCAGGGACACTCATACATGTTAGCAGGGACACACATGTACATGTTAGCAGGGACACACGTGTACATGTTAGCAGGGACACACGTGTACATGTTAGCAGGGACACACGTGTACATGTTAGCAGGGACACACGTGTACATGTTAGCAAGGACACACGTGTACATGTTAGCAGGGACACACGTGTACATGTTAGCAGGGACACACGTGTACATGTTAGCAGGGACACACGTGTACATGTTAGCAGGGACACTCATACATGTTAGCAGGGACACACATACATGTTAGCAGGGACACACGTGTACATGTTAGCAGGGACACACGTGTACATGTTAGCAGGGACACACGTGTACATGTTAGCAGGGACACACATGTACATGTTAGCAGGGACACACGTGTACATGTTAGCAGGGACACACGTGTACATGTTAGCAGGGACACACGTGTACATGTTAGCAGGGACACACGTGTACATGTTAGCAGGGACACACGTGTACATGTTAGCAGGGACACACGTGTACATGTTATCAGAGACACACGTGTACATGTTATCAGAGACACACATGTACATGTTAGCAGTGACACACATGTACATGTTATCAGAGACACACGTGTACATGTTAGCAGTGACAGACGTGTACATGTTAGCAGTGACACACATGTACATGTTAGCAGGGACACACGTGTACATGTTATCAGAGACACACATGTATGTACACATTAGCAGAGAGACACACCTTTGCGGGTGGTGCCCATGGCGGTGGAAGGTTTGACGGCCATGTCGTCCCACCGCAGACTCCCCCACAGCAGCCTCAGCATCAGGCTCACCCCTGACAGAGACTTCACCGTCTGCAGCCGGTACCTGAGGATTAGAGTTAGAGTTAAGGTTAGAGTTAAGGTTAGAGAGACAGAACTCTCGAACTGAGACTAGTGTGAGTGATGGGCTAATGATAGAGTAATGATAGAGTAATGATAGAGTAATGAGAGTTGGCATGCTAGTTGTAGTAATGGTCTCAGAGCTTTTAGGTCATGTAGTGAATAGAGCTGGGTATCTTTCAGAGCCTGCTGATACCATACGAATGTCGATACCATACGAATGTAGATACCATACGAATATAGATACCATACATATATAGATACCATACATGTGCAGATACCATTAACGCATTAACACACGTTAATTGGGCGGCACAGTGGCTGAGTGGATAGCCCTCATGCTTCTCAGCAAGAAGGTCCTGGGTTCGAATACCGGTTGGACCAGGGCCTTTCTGAGTGGAGTTTGCATGTTCTCCCTGTGTCTGCGTTGGTTTCCTCCGTTTTCCCCTGCCAATAAAAACATGTACAATAGTTCTGGCATGCACCTCCTGTACTGGCCCCGCTCCCATCTCTGTGTGGTGTGAGAGACTAATGCCCAAAAATAACAATTGAAAACCGCTTTGTGACTCTGGTCTGTGAAAGGCGGTATATAAATAAAGATTACTTACTACTTAATTAATTGTTTTCATTATTTGCGTAAAAAAATAAAAATAACGCTTTCCCGCTTCCGGCAGCTGTGAGCGGCTTTTGGAACCACCAGGACTCTTCCTAGAGCTGGCCGGCCATCTAAACTGAGCGATTGGGGGAGAAGAACCTTAAGCCTTGTTCACACGGCAGAATAATTAGGCAGATTTTGGATCCGATTTACCCCTACGACGATCGTAAGAACGTTCCAAATATCGTAACAAAAAATCTGATGGATTTTCCTGCCGTGTGTGGTGTGTAAAGACTGTGCTCGTCGCTCGGAAGGACTTCGGGACTGCTCCGATCTCAATATCGGGGATATCCGACATGTTGGATTGTTTTGGCCCGATTTCTCCTTGTGTGTGGTGTCCCCCGAGGACAGACGTTGCCATGACTGCGACATGTAACCAATCAGAAGACGAGACGGCGAGGAAACACCGTGAAAAAACAACTCACCTCCATATTACGATGTATCAAGTATAGTCCATGCTCGCGTTGTCTACACTTCTTTGACCATCGCCTTTTCTTTTGATTACGTCTTTTCTCAGATAAAAACAAACTATCGCCACTGCATCCTCTTCGTCCTCCATAATTGTTTACTCTGAAGTCACGCTTGATCTCGCGAGATTTTGTGAGATTTCCGTCTGATCTGGGAATGCTCGGGGGGGAAATCGGTTTGTGTGTGGTTTGCGTGATTTTGCCGTGTGGCTTCGCACCACACACTGTACGACCAAAGTGGTTAGACCCATGATTTTTTATCTCTGTGTGTGAGGTCTCACACAAAGAAAAAAATCGTCCGACAATTTTAAAATCGTCTCGTGTGAACCAGGCTTTAGTCAGGGAGGTGACTATGAACCCGATGATCACTTTGTCAGAGCTCCAGCGTTCCTCTGTGGAGAGAGGAGAACCTTCCAGAAGGACAACCATCTCTGCAGCAATCCACAAATCCGGCTTGTATGGTAGAGTGGCCAGACGGAAGCCGCTCCTAAAGGTACGTTCACACCGGACTTAACTTAGACTTCAAAAGCGTCAGGTTTGCATTGAAAGTGAATGGTGAAGCGCGTCAGGTGACGCCGAGAGGCCCGACGTCACTTGGCGCGTGTCAAAAGCTTCAAAATATGCAGCAGCTGCGGGTCTGTCATGGAAAGAAGTCATGTAGCTGCTGCTTCTGTTTTATTGTCATTAATGTTATTAGCGACATTTTTTGTATGAGTAGTAATGTTCTTAAAGGACAACTCACCCTCAAATCCACTTTTTTTGTGCTGATAAACTGTATAAATGAGTGTCCAATAGTGTTGTCTACATATCCTGGTCATCAATTTGTCACTTTGGTGCAAACTAGTTGAAAGTTCAACGTTATGCCTAAAACCGTCTGAGGCGCCATCTGCAGGCGGTCTACATTTCTGCATTTGAATTTTGAATCTGGCGCCTACATTGGCCGCAGCAGTGGCCGCTTTCGTCTGCAGTGGCTCGTTACGTCAGCAGCCCCACGCCCTGAGGTATGTAAACGGCCCAGTCTCGTTCACCCCGCCTGTCCCCTTTAGTCCTCCAGGCTACGCCCATTTAGAGGGAGATTTGAACAGGAAATGTGAGTGACGTAGGCCTTGAGGAGCGGGGGTGAGAACCACTTTAATAAGTGAGTAACAAAATCAACATACACATGCTGTGAAGTAAACGTAATTTATTTAATATAAAAAGAAGCTGAAGATGAGTCTGGCTCTGAGTGAGAGCGAGCTCCAGGCAGGAGCGAGGAGACCAGGCGGCGAGACCAGGCGGCGAGACCAGGCGGCGAGACCAGGCGGCGAGACCAGGTGGGAGCGAGGCTCCAGGTGGGGAGAAAGCTTAAGCGAAACTCATCCGTAAGCAGCTCCAGGAGTAAATGACGAAACTCAGCAAACACTGCAGCCTCTCAAGTCTGTGGTGAACCCAGAACACGTTTTGTAGAAGCCCCACGTCAACGTTGTTTGGCTTTATATAACAAATAAAGGCTCGCTGCTCTCTGGAAAATCCACTGTTGTCTTGACTACCGGCAACAGAGAAGCTCCTCCCACCGGCGTCAGGCGCGTCAGGAGCTTCAAGCACCAAGGCGTTCACACCAGACCCAGCGTCAAAAAACGAGCGTCAAAAGCTTTTTGAAGCTGTTGGTCTGAACGCGCCTTTAGTTTGGAGTTTGCCAAAAGGCACCTGAAGGACTCTCAGACCATGAGAAAAAAAATGCTCTGGTCTGATGAGACAAAGATTGAACTCTTTGGCGTGAATGCCAGGCGTCATGTTTGGAGGAAACAAGGCACTGCTCATCACCAAGCCGATACCATCCCTACAGTGAAGCATGGTGGTGGTAGCATCATGCTGTGGGGATGTTTTTCAGCGGCAGGAACTGGGAGACTAGTCAAGATAGAGGGAAAGATGAATGCAGCAATGTACAGAGACATCCTGGATGAAATGGATTGCACTATAACAATACCAGAGACGTCGCCCGGCATGGCGCAGCCGGGGCCCCACCTTGGAGCCAGGCCTGGGGTTGGGGCTCGAAAGCGAGCGCCTGGTGGCCGGGCCTTAGCCCATGGAGCCCGGCCGGACTCAGCCCAAAAGGACGACGTGGGCAGGCCCTCCTGTGGACCCACCACCCACAGAGGGATCCGTGGCGGTCAGGGGCAGAGGACTGAGCGGCAGTGGAAGGCGGAGATCTCGGCGGCCCAGTGCGCACACACAACATCTGGCTCTCTGGACATGGAACGTCACCTCACTGGGGGGGAGGAGCCCGAGCTTGTGGGGGAGGTTGAGAGATACCGACTAGAGATAGTCGGCCTCACCTCCACACACAGCTGGGGCTCTGAACCCTTTAAGGGGGGTTGGACACTCCACTTTTCTGTTTCTCGCAGTAAGAGCCGCGAGCGGGGGTGGCCATTCTCATTGCCCCCCATCTCAGCCGCCACGTGTTGGAGTTCTCCCCGGTGAATGAGAGGGTCGCGTCCCTCACAAGTCTCTCACTGTTGTGACGGCCTACCTGCCTAACAGCAGTGCAGAGTACCCGGCCTTCTTGGAGTCCCTGGGAGGGGTACTGGAAAGTTCACCGACCAGGAGTTATTCTCCTGAGGGACTTAAACGCCCATGTGGGGGACGCCAGTGAAACTTGGAGAGGGGTGAAAGGGAAGAACTGCCCTGGTCTGAACTCGACCGGTGTTCAGTGGTTGGACTTCTGTGCTAGCCACAGTTTGTCCATCACGAACACCATGTTCGAGCACAAGGGTGTCCACCAGTGCACGTGGCACCAGGACCTGAGGCCGGAGGTCGATGATCGACTTTGTCGTGTCATCTGACCTTCCGCCGCGTGTCTCGGACACTCAGGAAAAGAGAGGGGTGGAGCCGTCAACCGATCACCTATAAAACTGGATGCCCAAATCAGCTGTTGTGAAGACCAGCTTTTTTCAACTGAGGCGACTTGCCAAAGTCAAATCGTTTTTATCTCGTCATAACTTAACATTTTTAACTCATGCTTTTATTAACTCTCGTTTAGATTATTGCAATTCCCTCTATACCGGACACAGTAAGACCTCACTTTCATTAATCCAAAATGCTGCTGCCAGACTCTTAACTGGCACGCACACATGTGATCACATCACCCCTTTGTCCTCTCACTGGCCCCCTGGCCCCACGCCCCGCCACAGGCAATTGAGAATGAGGGATCACGTGATAATTTAGGCGGGGTCTAATCCGGTCGGCCATGTTGATAGGATCCTCCATCGGTTGCCAGGGGCAACGCCACTAACGCTAACGCTCCAGAGGTCTTTAAATTGAGCACGTTTATTAGTTCGGCAGTAGATACATCTACGATTACAACACTAGCAAGACAGTTAATGGAGAAAGTGAAGGCGAAAGGAAATGGACCGTACAGGGAAAAGCTTCTACCCACGGCAAAACAACGTTATTTGGAGAAGCTCTCAGACATACAACAGGTAGACCCATACGAGCTTCCTGCAGCGGAGTGGCAAAAAGACCTAGACTTTTGGCCTCCGTGCACGTACATGGATATAGTCAATTACCTTGTTTTCGGTGTTAGTTATTATACAATGCAGGAGTTTAGAAGTCACAAGTCACTGGAGAGTTACGAGGCTTTCTGCTGTGGTTGGGTGCAGGACATGGCCATCTACAAGCCTCCAGGCGGTGAAAACACCGTTGTACTTGCAAAGGTAAGTTTTCATAACATGCGTTTTTGTGTGCTGTAATTACATTGCATTTAGCACACATTTCTTGACCATAATGACGTGTGTCATTAGATAGTTAGATAGTTAGCTAGGCAGCTAACTTAAGATGCACTTCAGTGTTTGCAACATTAACAGCTAGGTAACCTACACTTCTTAACTTTAAAAAAACAACATGAAGACATTATAGGACGTACCCGAGTGAAAATGCAGAGAACACACTCTCATCGACTGGGGGGTGAGATCGAAAGTAAGGTCCTTTCTTCTTATTGCAGCCAACCAAGCCATCCGGCGTCTCTTCGTTAGGTCAGACACCTGCGCTCCCTGATGTTGTATCCATTTTGGTGGCCTAAAAAATTGTAAACCGTTGTTCCTACGTTTTCCTTTCTTATTGTGTGAGGTACTGGAGCAGTTTTTCACACAGCAATGAGCTCCAGGCATGGTAAAACAGAAATAGCGATGACCTCCTTTGCTACCGAGTTAACAACAACTGTTTGCCGCTGGGTGGGATCCTACCAACATGGCGGAGACGGGGAGGGGCTCTGTGCTATGACGTCAACTCCTCACTCTCAATAAGATCAGCAGCTCTAAGGATCAGCAGACCAGGTCTCTTACTGGTCCCAAAGACCAGAAAGAGTCTGAGAGGGGGTCGTGCATTTGCAGCAGCTCCAGACTTTGGGTCTGTAATGGTCTCTGCACATCAGACTGTTGGTGTTTAATGGTCTCTGCAGACTGTTGGATTTTAACTCAGTGGGTTGACTTTCGGTGTAATTCTTGTTTCTATATTGTATTATATTGTGTTTTTCAACTGTGTTGTTCATAAAAAGTTATCAATCCCTTTGTCCCATTTTAGCAAAAATACAACAATTATTTATATTCAGTTATCTAAGATTAATAGACTCCGTTCATTTAATTATAAATTAAAAAGTTGGAAAAAACAGAAAAACTATGTAACCCACAGGGATTAGCTCTTCATTAGCTGCTCATTAGCTTTTCATTAGCTGCTCATTAGCTCTTCATTGGCGGCTCATTAGCTCTTCATTAGCTGCTCATTAGCCCTTCATTGGCGGCTCATTAGCTCTTCATTAGCTGCTCATTAGCCCTTCATTGGCGGCTCATTAGCTCTTCATTAGCTGCTCATTAGCTTTTCATTAGCTGCTTATTAGTTCTTCATTGGCGGCTCATTTGCTGCTCAATAGCTCTTCATTGGCTGCTCATTAGCTCTTCATTGGCGGCTCATTTGCTGCTCAATAGCTGCTCATAAGCGAGGGCTGAACTGTGACCAAATGAACAAGCTATAATGACTGTTAAATGAGTCTCTTAATATCCACCCACCCGCCGGCGGGCGATTTTTAATTTTAAAATGTTCCGCTGGCAATAGCAGATGTATTTCAAATTGGGATGTAAAAAACTATGAATTATCATGACCACCGAGCCTCATTAACCGGTTGAAACCGGTTAACCGCGTAGTTTAAAATATTCCACGTTCTTTGAAATAACAGCCATTTCGAGGCGCGTACTTTTCATAAGTGCAGAGAGCTGAGACAGCGGTGCCAAAACCTTACAAGCTTTGACAGCTTCGCCACCTTAGCACAGAGAACTGCTTTTTTAATCTTCTCATTCTTCTGTGCTGCGGGTTCACATAGTCAGAGCAGCGAGTTGCGAGCCGTGTCTCGCAGGTCTCCGCTAAAGATTAAATACAAGTGATGTGTGTGGATCTAATGAAAAGGACCAGCAGCACAAACATGTTCCATGTGGTTTGACTGGAGCAGCGTATTTGCAAGGATCCTTTGGGCTCCGTGACACAGAGGAGCGCGACAGACCGGTATGTGTATTTCAATATCAATAGAAAACGGGGTCGATAGAATGTTCGATAGTTTAGTTTAACTTCACTCCGTAAGAAAAAACAGGAAGAAAACACAGAAAGTAAAGCCGAGTCAGAAGCGCGCGGCATTCTGGGGGATGTAGGCATAGGCTTCTCAACCAATCACAGCCAAGCATGAACCGCAAAACATTCTGGGAAATGCAAAAACAACTGCACAATGCGTATCGTACATGGATCTAAGATTGTTTTTCAATGCCGTGTCAATGGTTCCGCACGTCTGTGTGAGGCATAGCATGCACGGCGCGGGAGAGGCAGTGGACACGCAGACACGATGCATGTGGCAAAAGCAAGAGATGAACTTTTTCCTCCGCGCGGCTATCAGCAGCCGCACGTCATGGGGATACGTCATGGGGATACGTCATGGGGATACGTCATGGGGATACGTCATGGGGATACGTCATGGGGATACGTCATGGGGATACGTCATGGGGACATAAAACGGGAGATAAACCAGGACTAAACCAGGATTACACCAGGACTAACTATGGGGGAGACTGCTTGTGAACATATTCCTCTAGCCTCATTCCCTCGTGACTGTAAACAAGGCTGCTAACGTGTGTTAGCCGACACAACAAACTTAATTATTCAGGTAAAAAATAAATAAAAATAATAATATATATTGTTATCGACCGATATGAATTACTTGTATTGTGATATCGTTTTCAGCCATCACCCAGCCCTACTTATAAGTACCAAAAATAAAAATAAAATATGGTTTTCATGAAGATGAAATGTCAGTAAAGCAATTTGGCAAAATTTGGAACAAAGTGTGCCAAATTGGTTCCGAATGGCACTACTTGATACTTGAGAATCTGTATAAAATCTATAAAACTTAGAAGTCTGAAACTTTAGAAGGGTGTTACCAACAACACAATGACCAAAGGGTTTGAATATTGTGAACTTACATTGAAGTATGCCTTTTTTAGGGTCTTTAGAAATTGAAAATGTTAGGCGAGGCTAAAAAAATAGGTTTTTTACCCAAACTTCGAAGGATGAAGAGTGAAATAGGAATGACATACATTATTTTAGTGTATATTTACATAAACTAGAAGGCTCTAGCTTTAATATGATGCTTCACACAAGCATGTGACATGTAAGATGTGTTTTTAATAGGGCTGTCAAAATTATCGCGTTAACGCACGTTAATTAATTTTTTTCATTAATCGCTTTTAAAAAATTAACGCATTTGACGCATGCCCATGCGTCCCATAATAACACTCATGCCGCGGACACACGCTTGTGTAAGATGGGGACAGAGCAGGTAGACCCTCTGGGAATTCAAGTTTTGAAAGAATACATGCGTGACCGCGGGGCACTTGTTGTTTCCTGTATGAACTCTGCATGATGAGCTGCGGGCGCCACAGCGCTCTGGACAACGCTCTGGACAGGTCCCACTTCCAGCAGCTATGATCACGGCGAACGGCGCTGCGTAATGGGATCATATCCAAGACCACGCACAGAACTATTACAGAACTATTCTCTAGTGTGCGTACGTGTCTTTGCGTAACCGATGCACACAATATGTACAGCGCAGAAGCTGGACTGCGGAGCCTCAGTCTCCTCCGTGTCTTCTCCCGAAGCGCACTCGCTAAATTAAAGCTGAGGTACCTAATTTTCCTTTCGACTACCAGTTCATGTTAGTTGTGCCAAAAAAAGGAATGTTGTGAGCAAATCAAACAGATTTAATGACATTCTGCATTTCAGACTATTTTGAAATGTCCCTCATCTGTAACAAACAATGGTTTTGGTCTGAGTCTAAACAGAAAGACAGAATGTTAATAATGTTAATTCCATTTTATATGGATTTATTGTTATAACAAACAAATACAGTACATATGTTCACTAAGCTGTCATTTATCTTTCCATTCAAACAACAATTTACAGAAAAATATGGCATAATTTTGCCAATAGTTTGAAATGCGAGTAATTACGATTAATTTTTAAGCTGTAATTAACTCGATTAAAAAATTTAATCGTTTGACAGCCCTAGTTTTTAAATAAGTAAAGACATTTGGGCATGCCCAACTTTTGTGCACGAGCCAAAATGAGGCGGGTGTTATTAAACCATGTTCCAGAGTCTTACCTCCACGTCATCCCGAAGGTGGGCCGTGGCGAGGGGTAGGGCCAAATGTCCAGGGCGGGTTTGGCGCTGTAGTTGAAAATAGGCACCTCCCTGAAGCCGCCGCGCCGCGCCAGACGCTTCAGGTCGTCGTTGGGAAGGATGAAGATGCTCTTCTTGCTGCTCTTGGTCACAAACTTACGGTAGGACGGCAGCGCGGTGCCCGAGCGCAGCTTCTTTCCTTTGGAGAACCTCTGGAGGCTCACGCGCTCCTTCGTGGAGTACTCTCTGCTGATCGTGGAGTACTCTCTGCTGATCGTAGAGGCAGATTTCTGAGGAGGAGGAGCTTTCTGAGGGGGAGGGGCTTGCTGAGGGGGAGGAGCCTGGACTTTGGCTTCATCCAAAGTATTAGTGCTTTTGGTGGTGTCCTTCACTTCTTGGGCATCTAGGCTCTCGTGATTATTGTCCAGTCTCTGGATCTTATTGGGCGGTGGATGTGAATCGTTTGGACGCAGCTTTCCGTTCATTAAAGACTTGAGCGTTGGTTCTTTGTTCTTCAGGTCGACCAGCTCCTCGTTTCCGTTGACTTGCAAAGAGCCACTCTTACAGTCCTGCTCCACTTCCTCGAAAGTTCTTTTCTTGTCGTTTTCAGTGGAGCTGCAGATGTTCTCAGAGGTTTCAGACAGTCCATTGTTTCTGTTCTCAGACTCTCCGTTGACCTGAGGAGCAGAACCCTCTTCGTTCTCCGCCTTTGTCTTGTGATCATTTTGGACGTGTTGAGGTTCAAAGCTGAGTTTCTTCACCACATAATCTTTCACTTGTCTTCCTTCTTCTGCTTTGATGGCTGGCTCAGTTTTGACAGAAGTGGGTAGTTTGGAGGAGGCGGGTTTAGGCACGAGGGCGGCCTGCCGCAGCCTGTCCAGCCGCGCCTTCTCCTCAAAGGTAAACTGTTTAACGCGTCGCTCCAGCAGAGAGTCCAGTCTGCAGGGTTTGACCTTCTTCTTGAAGGCGGTGCGCAGCTGGAAGCCCTGGCTCACATTGACCACGTCATAGTAGGGCTCCGGCTCTTTCTGCTCCTTCTGATCCTCCTGCTCGGCCTCGGAGCTCGCAGGCAGCTTGCTCAGAGGGTTGGTTTTGTCTGTGGGAATATGAAAGAGACGATTTCTATTTGAATCAAATAGTGGCTGGAATAACAAGTGATATATATAAATAAATATATAGTATATAAATAAACTGAGTTGAACCCAAAGTGTTCATGTTGTAAGATACATGCTCTCCCTGTAACAGGAAACAAAGTCAGGGCAAAATTAAAATCAACATAAGCTTTCATCTGTAGATCACAAACAATCCTGAAATTAGACGCTTTGCAGTAAAAACCGAGGGCTTTAGGTTCATGACTAAAGCACCAAATAACTTCACCATCTACATCCTTTTGTGGCCGTTAAATCAATCACCTTCTTCTTGAGATGTCTTCTCTGCAGCCGGCTCCACCTCCATCTCCTCCTCCTTTGGCTCCTCTTTCAGCTTCTGCCCATCTGTTTCTGAAGTGCTTGGAGGCTCCTGTCCCTCACTCTGCTTTCCACTCTTTGTTCCAGCGTTTTCTTTCAGTTTAGCTGCAAACAAAACCAACAGCTTCACAAACTGCAGCACAGAGACCTTCCAGAACCTTCTCTTACCTTCCAGCTGCTGGCGGTAGTTGGCATTGGTGTTGCCGGGGAGTCTGGTCACGAAGCGGTAGACTCTGGTCTTGCTGACCCAGTTCCATCCTCCGTATCCAGTCACTCTGTACTCCTCGCCCTTCTGCTTCCACACCTGCAACACACATCAGGAAATCAGGGGTCTCAGCTTTAAAGCTGCACTTTCTGCGTCAACTTCAAATGTTGATCTGTAGTTCATCTCTAGGGTCGATTTCCTCATTCTGTGGCAATGGGAAATAGTAAAATCTCCCAAATGTACACCTCGCACTTGTGTTGCACATCGTCGTTTCACCGATTTGGCTCAAAATGGCTCCACCTTCATCTAACACATGTAGCATCTAACACATGTAGCATCTTAACACATGTAGCATCTTAACACATGTAGCATCTTAACACATGTAGCATCTTAACACATGTAGCATCTTAACACATGTAGCATCTTAACACATGTAGCATCTACATGTGTTAAGATGCTACATCTTAACACATGTAGCATCTTAACACATGTAGCATCTTAACACATGTAGCATCTAAACACATGTAGCATCTAAACGGCCCTCACCTGGTGTTTGATGTTGACGCTGTACTTGACCCAAGTGGCCTGCTGCAGAGTCTCCTCGTCCTCCAGCTTCTTCTCCTTCTTCTTCACCTTCTCCTTCTCCTCTCTCTCCATGGCCGTCATGCGGAGCAGCCTGACCACACGCAACACACATGAAGATGCAGTCCACTCACATGTGACACACACAGGACACATGTGACACACACAGGACACACACAAGACACATGTGACACACACAGGACACATGTGACACACACAAGACACACGTGAAGAAACCAGTCACTCACGTTTATACATGTATTGACATGTATAGGAGTGTATAGAAGTGTATAGGAGTGTATAGTAGGGCTGCACAATATATCGAAAAAATATCGTTATTGAGATATTGGTGCTTGCGATATCCATATCAAAAATATCCGCGATATAAAAAATAAAAAAATGTTTTTCTTCCTTTATTAAAGACAACAAAACAGACAGCCACATCAACATTCAACAACAACAAACAAACAAAAAAGTATATAGATTGTGCTGGTGAACTGCCTTTTAGTCCCACTCCCCCTCCTCACCAGGAAATGGCGGGTGGAACTGTTCACCTGCGCAATCCGCACCCACCCGGTGTGGTAAAAAGGACGGACACAAACACTTCAGCATGAGTTCAAGCAGGACAAGCAGCGATCGCAGCACACAATCAGTGCATGCAAGACAAACCCTTCTACAATCCCATGAAAGAGCCGGTAAGCGCCGTCATCACTCGCGATCATTGACTGAGACCTTACGCGGAGGTGTATATGATGCGTTCAAGAGCCCTCTGAAGTAGCGGAAACGCGGACTCTTTAACATTAATTTTGTTCTGATTTGTTTATTCGTTGTACTGTGTTTAGGATGTATCCAAAACATAACTCCAGGAACATATCATAATTCACAACTAATCAATGATATTCGCCAAACTATTAACTACTATTAAACTATTAAGTTAAAAACTGAATTAAAACCTGATCATGTGTTAAAAAATGCTGTTACTAAGTTCATTACTTGTTAAAATTATTTACTTTAAAGTGTGCTAAAACCAGAAAGATTGATTAGTGAACCTATGTCTAATTCACTGTTTTTCAACCACTTGATATTGTCTGGTGTGCCGTGAGAAAATCGTCTACTTTGTCTAAAAATAACTGCATTCGCTGTTGACGAGCGGTGACTTGTTTTGAACTGTGAGTAACCATGTAATACTTTTTCATATCAGTAGATGGCAGCAGATAGCTAAGTACTTTGAAACTGAAAAATTGGATGCGACCACTGGTCGTAACAGGTAGTGGGAGCATTGTGGCGAGAAACGTAAAATTGGATGCGACTAACAAATGTGTGAGGTAACGAGACAAGAGCTTTGTGGCGAGAAGTGAAAGTGATAGAGACGTTTTTGAAAAGGAATTATGCCGTTTCTGAACAGGATTCACATCCTCTGCTCTGCCCCGGGGCAGCTGTGGCCGCGTTGTAGTGGTTTAACTATGAAATGTACAATTTTTGTACAAAAGCTCAGGCAAACGCACATCCGAACTGGGTACCGAGCGCGGACCATAGTCGCGTGGACAGAACCATAGACATGCGGACCGGACAGAACCATGGACTCGTGTTCAGGACCTCCCGTGTCCCTCCCGTGTTTCCTCTCGAAGTGAGTCCAAAACTCCTGAATTTAAAGCTCGGATACCTAAATTTCCCCCATACACTAACAATGCATGTTATTTACTTAAGAGCCCCCTGAGTTATTATTTGACTATTTGGGCTGAGAGTGGATTTATTTTGTTTTTTTTTCCACACAGTTAGTGCCATTTTATTCCCAAACTCTTTTTAAGTCGTTGTATTGAGAAATATTAAATAAAGCTTAATGTCAACGCCTGGAATTAAGCACTTTGATGAGAATAACTGTATATTGTGAATATAGGCTACAGAGTATATATATTATAAGATAAGATATACTTTATTGATCTCACATAGAGTATGTATAGTCTATATTTTTACATTTTCTCCTGGAGGTGTGCCGCGAGATTTTTTCAATAAAAAAAATGTGCCTTGGCTCAAAAAAGTTTGAAAAACACTGGTCTAATTCATAGTATATCTTTTTGATAAAAGCTAAGCAAATATTGTAATAAATTTCAAATGTCGTTAAAAACGTTTGTAAAAAACATCTATGAAAATATGTTTAAAACTTCTTTTGTAACTGATTTGGCTAAATGTCAGTTGTTAATATAATACTAAACTATATAAACTATTCCATATAATAAACTTTACAATAATAATGCAAAACTGTTCAGAAAAAAAGGTCTTCAACAAACAGTTTACCGACATGAGCAGGTTAAAAATATAAATTATTTCATTTGGGAGTAAAATTGTATTTAATAAAAATTAGTACTTTGATTTACTAGCAGAAACATTATTTGTTTAAAAGTAGCGATTAAAAGACAGAAAATGATTGTATGTTTCTGTTCTATTTTTTAGGTAACAAAAAATATCGCAATAATATCGTTATCGCAATCCTAAACACTCATATCGAATATCGCACTAATCTCCAATATCCTGCAGCCCTAGCGAATAGTGTATAGGAGGGTATAGGAGGGCATAGGAGGGTATAGGAGGACATACAGTGCCTTGCGAAAGTATTCGCCCCCCTTGAACCTTTCAACATTTCGCCACATTTACGGCTTCAAACAAAGATATAAAATAAATTTTTTTTGTCATGAATCAACAAGTGGGACACAATCGTGAAGTGGAACGAAATTTATTGGATAATTTAAACTTTTTTAACAAATAAAAAAAGTGGGGGCGCAATATTATTCGGCCCCTTTACTTTCAGTGCAGCAAACTCAGTCCAGAAGTTCAGTGAGGATCTTTGAATGATCCAATGTTGTCCTAAATGACTGATGATGATAAATAGAATGCACCTGTGTGTAATCAAGTCTCCGTATAAATGCACCTGCTCTTTGATAGTCTCAGGGTTTTGTTTAAAGCGCAGAGAGAACCATGAAGACAAAGGAACACACCAGGAAGGTCCGAGATACTGTTGTGGAGAAGTTTAAAGCCGGATTTGGATACAAAAAGATTTACCAAGCTTTAAACATCTCAAGGAGCGCTGTGCAAGCAATTATATTGAAATGGAAGGAGTATCAGACCACTGCAAATCTACCAAGACCCGGCCGTTCCTCCAAACAAGGAGAAGACTGATCAGAGATGCAGCCAAGAGGCCCATGATCACTCTGGATGAACTGCAGATAACTACAGCTGAGGTGGGAGAGTCTGTCCATAGGACAACAATCAGTCGTGCACTGCACAAATCTGGCCTTTATGGAAGAGTGGCAAGAAGAAAGCCATTTCTCAAAGATATCCATAAAAAGTCTCGTTTAAAGTTTGCCACAAGCCACCTGGGAGACACACCAAACATGTGGAAGAAGGTGCTCTGGTCAGATGAAACCAAAATCGAACTTTTTGGCCACAATGCAAAACGATATGTTTGGCGTAAAAGCAACACAGCTCATCACCCTGAACACACCATCCCCACTGTCAAACATGGTGGTGGCAGCATCATGCTTTGGGCCTGCTTTTCTTCAGCAGGGACAGGGAAGATGGCTAAAATTGATGGGAAGATGGATGGAGCCAAATACAGGAGCATTCTGGAAGAAAACCTGTTGGAGTCTGCAAAAGACCTGAGACTGGGACGGAGATTTATCTTCCAACAGGACAATGATCCAAAACATAAAGCCCCAAGCGACTTGCATCTGTAATTGCAGCAAAAGGTGGCGCTACAAAGTATTGCGCAAGGGGGCCGAATAATATTGCACGCCCCACTTTTCAGTTTTATATTTGTTAAAAAAGTTTAAATTATCCAATAAATTTCATTCCACTTCACGATTGTGTCCCACTTGTTGTTGATTCTTGACAAAAAATTTAATTTTTATATCTTTATGTTTGAAGCCTGAAATGTGGCGAAATGTTGAAAGGTTCAAGGGGGCCGAATACTTTCGCAAGGCACTGTATGAGGGCATAGGAGGGTATAGGAGGACATAGGAGGGTATAGAGTATAGGACCTGGTGTGTCCCAGCGACTCCTTCCACACCGGGAGCATGACGACAGGTTTGATGGCGCACTCGAGGATGGCCAGGGCCAGGGCGAACTCTCGCGCTTTGCTGCACATCTGCACCGCCTTGTTCCAGTTGCTGCGGTGCGCCGCCCAGTTGGGGTGCATGAAGGGGCCCGGCACGTTGGCCTCCAGCTGCGTGATGTTGAGGCGCAGCGTGGCCACGGTGAGGCCGCGGGAGCCGTGGATGGTGCCGCTCCACTTGAAGTCTGCGGCCGTGGTCAGGCTGAACTTGTGCGACAGGTGGCGGCGCTTGTCGTGCTCCTCGCGGTGCTGGTGCTTGTTCAGGGCCAGGGTGTTGGTGCTGTACTGGTTGTGGTAGACGCGGTACTTTCCCTCCTGGCCCAGTTTGAACAGGTCTTTGAGCTGCACCTTCAGCGTGGCCTCACTTTTGAAGAGGAGCGAGCAGAGCAGGGGCTGAGAGAGAGGATTATATTATACTTTTATTTTCACTTACACCAACTCCCACATCCATGTGAGAAACCATGTGACACAGAGACCATGTGAAACAGACCATGTGGACACAGACACCATGTGACATAGACAATGTGGACACAGAGAGCCTGTGGACACAGAGACCATGTGACTAGGCCTGTCACTATGACAAATTTTCCTGGACGATTAGGACAATGCAGGATCACCTTTTCAAAGAGAAATAAAAGCACAGCAGTATGTGTTTATTTTTAAAGACCACCGCCAGAAGTGGCGGAAGTAGCGGGCGGTCTTTGATGCTCACGGAGTTAAGCTAGCGGCTTTTTGTGTAAAGTTCTTCTCCAAGAACGCAGCTCTGCAGCATCTCTGTGTCCAAGACCTTCCAGAGACTTTATATAACAGCAGTATGTGTTCACAGTGACTTTATATAACAGCAGTATGTGTTCACAGAGGAGACTTTATATAACAGCAGTATGTGTTCACAGAGGAGACTTTATATAACAGCAGTATGTGTTCACGGAGGAGACTTTATATAACAGCAGTATGTGTTCATGGAGGAGACTTTATATAACAGCAGTATGTGTTCACAGAGGAGACTTTATATAACAGCAGTATGTGTTCACAGAGGAGACTTTATATAACAGCAGTATGTGTTCACGGAGGAGACTTTATATAACAGCAGTATGTGTTCATGGAGGAGACTTTATATAACAGCAGTATGTGTTCACAGAGGAGACTTTATATAACAGCAGTATGTGTTCACGGAGGTGACTTTATATAACAGCAGTATGTGTTCACAGAGGAGACTTTATATAACAGTAGTATGTGTTCATGGAGGAGACTTTATATAACAGCAGTATGTGTTCATGGAGGAGACTTTATATAACAGCAGTATGTGTTCATGGAGGTGACTTTATATAACAGCAGTATGTGTTCACGGAGGTGACTTTATATAACAGCAGTATGTGTTCATGGAGGTGCGCCATAAGTTTATTTTATTATTACACGGGTCTTCCGACACTATAAGAGCCTGAATGAGAACTCAGGCTGGCATATGTTCACAAGCACTGACTCCCCCATTGTCAATCTTGGTTAAGTCCTGGTTTAGTTGTGGTTTAGCTCCTGTTTTGGCTGTATTTTGTATTTTTGAGTTATTTCAGTCTGCTTGCTAGACCGCTAATGTCACCGTGACCACTTTGAGAGAGAGAGGGAGAGAGAGAGACGGGGAAAACAAACAAGCATGCAAATGGCATTTATTGTGGACAGAAAAATTATTGAGCTAATTTTAATTATTATGCAATTAATTGATTTATTGAATATCGCGACAGGCCTACATGTGACACACAGACCATGTGACACACAGACCATGTGACACACAGACCATTGCTCACCTCCTTGTTGACTCGGGGGGCCGGCTCTTCTCCTGCCGTCTCCTTCTCTCCTTTCAGCTTGTTGTACTCATCTGTGGTTTACAAAACACATATTAGCATTAGCATTAGCATGCGCAGCACCCGGAGGTTCTGGTTGAGGTGCTGTTGTTACCGGTGCCGTCCTGACTGGTGAAGGAGGAGCGTGAGGACGGGTCGGTCATCTCTGGAGGCTCTGCTTTGATCTGACCGTCTGCGCTGGGCGGACCGTCTGCGTGTTTGGACTGCTCTGGCTTCTCAGCCGTCGTCAGGACGTCTTTGCTTTTACTGGAGGCCTCTGCCTTTGACTGCTCATCTGTGGCAGAAAGAGAAAGGATTGGTCATACGTGTTGTAATGTCACTTTCACTATAGGCCGAGCAAGTGGAGCACAGGGACTGGCCTCCTGCTGGGACTCTGAGGAGCACAGGGACTGGCTTCCTGCTGGGACTCTGAGGAGCACAGGGACTGGCCTCCTGCTGGGACTCTGAGGAGCACAGGGACTGGCCTCCTGCTGGGACTCTGAGGAGCACAGGGACTGGCCTCCTGCTGGGACTCTGAGGAGCACAGGGACTGGCTTCCTGCTGGGACTCTGAGGAGCACAGGGACTGGCCTCCTGCTGGGACTCTGAGGAGCACAGGGACTGGCCTCCTGCTGGGACTCTGAGGAGCACAGGGACTGGCCTCCTGCTGGGACTCTGAGGAGCACAGGGACTGGCTTCCTGCTGGGACTCTGAGGAGCACAGGGACTGGCCTCCTGCTGGGACTCTGAGGAGCACAGGGACTGGCCTCCTGCTGGGACTCTGAGGAGCACAGGGACTGGCTTCCTGCTGGGACTCTGAGGAGCACAGGGACTGGCCTCCTGCTGGGACTCTGAGGAGTACAGGGACTGGCCTCCTGCTGGGACTCTGAGGAGCACAGGGACTGGCTTCCTGCTGGGACTCTGAGGAGCACAGGGACTGGCCTCCTGCTGGGACTCTGAGGAGCACAGGGACTGGGGCCTCTTTTTCACTCGTACCTGCAGAATCCTTCTGCTCGGAGTCGCTTGTGGCCACAGTCTCCGCTGGGGGCCTCTCCTCTTCCATCTTGGTCTCTTCCTCTCGGTGCTTGGCTTCTTTGGCCTCCTGTAGCACCTGGAGACGCTCCTGCACCACTTCTGCAAACACAGCAACAATAAGCTTCAGTCACACGTTAACACACAAACCAATGTTGGAGACACACATTAGGAGTTAAATGATCAAAACGAAAAATATGTTATTATATATTATAATAGATTATAAATCATATTAGATTATATATGATGTGTTATATTGTGTGTGCGTGTGTGTATGTGTGTGCGTGTGTGTTACCGTTGAGAGCAGACAGGTAGCTGCGGCTGCTGCTAGCCTTGTGTGTGAGTTCCAGGGTGAGGTCCATGTGTGTTTGTATTTCTGGACTGAGTTCCTCCAGAGCCGTGTACAGGTCTCTCTCCCAGTGCTCCGGGTCCAACACCTCCATCAGCTCCTGCAGCTGCAGCTGCGTGCTGTAGTACCAGGTACGGCCACTCTCCACACGCGCCTCCTCTCTGCTCCCCTGCTCCACACGCGCCTCCTCTCGGCTCCCCTGCTCCACTCGCGCCTCCTCTCTGCTCCCCTGCTCCACACGCGCCTCCTCTCGGCTCCCCTGCTCCACTCGCACCTCCTCTCTGTCAGCACAAACACACACCAATAGGTCTATAACAGTGGTCTCTGCTCCTTATGTGTTTTTATCCTGTGTGTGTGATTCTCTAATCTGTGTTGGAGAATCAACAGTTTTGTAAAGTCCTCAGAGATAAAAACTGATTTAGGGTTTCTCACTCGTGTGTTTTGCATCAGTCACATCTTTAGATCAACTTTGTGAAAAACAACCATGACACAATCAGCTCACATGCCAAAGAGTCAAAGAGACTGACAATGCTTTGAATCAGAATGGCAGCATGTTGACAAACAGATAAATATCTTTTTAGGTCAGATTCTGTTTTATCAAAGTCAACACGCTTCTACATATAGGTCGTATAGAGGCCGAGGGTCTCGACCGGAAAAAGGTGCTTTGTCCTTTCCAGGTGGAAATGATAATAATAATAATAATAATAATAATAATAGGCACATGGAGAACTTACACTATGATCCTTCTGTTGAGAAACCAGTACTTCCTGTGGTGCCGGTCGTAGCCGATGGGCTCGTGCCTGATGTAGGGCTTGGTCTTCTGCACCTCCATGACGCAGTCACTGACCCCTGGCACCTGGTGGGCCACACACACCTCACACTGCCACTCGTCCTCGGGCACAACCTCCAGCTTCACACACTCCAGGTGGTAGACGGCGGTGCAGGTCTCGCAGCACAGCAGGTCTCCAAGACGATGACACACTCTGCAGTGGTCGTCGTACTGCATGACTCCGTCTGACATGAGCTCGTCCCGGGCCATGTTGGTGCTGAGGAACAGGTCCACCAGGAACTGCAGAACCCGCACCTTGCTCTCCAGGGGCCCGTACGGGTACTGGTCCGTCTCCAGGAAGGGGAGCACGTGGTGGTACTCCTTGTCGCTCTCGCAGTAGGAGCGCAGCACCTCGGGCCACGTCATGCCGTCAATGAAGAATAAAGTGGAGTTGACGCTGTCCTTGAGGTCGGCGGGACCGAAGGTGGTGTTGGACGTTTCTTCTTCTCGGAGGACAGCCTTCAGGAGAGCGATGTGGGTCTCGGAGATCAGAGTACTTTGCTCTTGGCCTAGGAGAGCAGCACAGAAGTCCTCAAAGCGGAACGGAGAGAGCCGCAGCACTGCACTGAAGTTCCTCAGGACGTCGTAGATGGAGATGGCGCTGAGCAGCTCCGTGTTTGGGACCAGCAGGTCCTCAGAGGAGGCGGGCAGCTCCAGGGGAGGCACCTCTTTCTCCTCCAGGAAGGGAGTGCGAGGCCGCGGGGGACGCCCTCGTCTTTTACCTGTGCATAGACATGTAATATGTTATGGTCATGTATAGTTCCACATTATTGTTAATAATAATGATATAACATTATATAAACCTAACATGGATTATTATGGTAAACAAAGACAATTACAACAATAATGATCCAGTTTAATAGATTCATCTCATCAAAGGTCTAACTTTGGGAAACTTTGATATTTCCATTGAATACATATTACATTCGTTCAGCAGCTTTAGTTATTCATGTTAAAGTGAAAGGCACTTGTTGCAGGACTGATGCTTTAGCTAACAGAGTTTGAAAGAAATGAACCATGAGCCATGCTAGCCTTAATTACCCCGTAATTAACAGAGTAATTAGCTTGAGAATGTAAGCATGAAGCCGCCAGCACGGCAGACTGAGCATGTAATAAACTATTGAGGGCTTGATTTGTTTTCAAATGACAGGAGACAGCGTGAGCTAATGTGGCTAACGTTAGCATGCTAGCAGCTAATCGCATGACGCTGACAGAAGCTTCTAATGAAGGATGTTCCATGTCCCGTGTGTTTACATGTGCACAGGTCACAGAGGGACACGGCCACACGTACACGTACACGAACACACCGCTCTGAGGCCTGTGTCATTCTCCATTATGAACAATACCCTCTGACTCTGCAGCTGCACAGGTCAGGGGCAGATGTGCACAGATGTACCCGGGGTGCTGCTGGTGCTCTGGCTCCTGAAGCTGCTCTCAGTGCACTCGCTCCCAGCATCCTCCTCCTCCTCCTCCAGCTCCTCCAGCTCCTCCAGAGGATCCAGCGCCTCCTCATCCTCCAGACCCTCGGAGCCCTTCAGGCCCTCCTCCTCCTCTTCAGTCTCCTCGTCCACCTGCTCTTCCTCCTCTGAGCGCAGGCTCACATTGTCGTCTTCCTCACTCTCATGGTCATCATACACCACAGTCTTGGAGGTCTTGCTCCTCTTGGCTCCACGGGAGCCTCTGCCTCCTCTTGAGGCCCCTCTGGAGGCCCCTCTGGAGGCTCCTCTGGAGGCTCCTCTGCTCCATGCCTTTCCCCGAGCAGACGCACTGGGGCCCCGCTTCTTCTTAGCCTTGAGCGGCCTGGGGCTCTCTCGGGGCGGGCTCTCCTCCTCCCCGCTGTCCCTGGCCCTGGGTTTGATATTCCTCCGTGGCCGTAAGCCTCGGGTCGCTGCAGGTGACGGCTCGGGGTCCGGGGGAGGATTGCACGGCCTGCCCCTGCCCCTGCCTCTCATGGTCGGTCTGTGGAGAGTCTGCGCCTCCTTCTCCTGCACCTCCTGGACCTCCTCGGAGGTGCTCCGCTACGGGGGCGAACTGCGCGGTCTCCCGGGGAAGCCCCGTGTCTGTGCAGGTCCGTGAGCTCAGGTCTCCCGGTAAAGCTCCCGTTGAAGTGCCGTGTCCCGCTCGGAGTCGCTTCCAGACGCCATTTTTCTCTCTGTGCTCGGAACAACAGGCCCTGGTCACGTGGTCTCAGTCCAACCGGAGACTGTAGAGTAGTTACTAGTTTATTTGTATATAATACATTTGTATTTAACACTAGTGTTTCTCTGCATGTTTTAGAAAGTGCCGTTAGTTTATATCTTGGAACGTTATTAATCAGTATATCATCATCATCATCATCATCTATCTCGGGTTCACTGCTGTTCATCCTTACGTCCCACATAACAGAATAATAATAATAATAACATGTACAGAACATAACGTATATACACATATATAATAATCTAGAAACATTAAAAGAGCAGTGAATAAACAGTGCAAGAGCGCCCTCTACCGGCTGCTGCGCGTGCATCGGTTTCTTCTCATTTATTTTGAGTTTAATTTGTGGCTGTAGACCCAGGACTGAGGCTGTAGACCCAGGACTGAGGCTGTAGACCCAGGACTGAGGCTGTAGACCCAGGACTGAGGCTGTAGGTCCAGGACTGAGGCTGTAGACCCAGGACTGAGGCTGTAGGTCCAGGACTGAGGCTGTAGACTAAGGCTGTAGACCCAGGTGCAGATGGAGGACAGTTCAGGGTCTCATCATACCACCATGGAACAGACAGTGGAATAGTGGGTGAATAGCAATGAACAGACTACAGCTGAAGTCATAATGACAGATAAAGTAGAAGAGGACAGTGCTGTTTACAGACTTCTCCAGCAGGGGGCTCCACATGCAGCGTCACTGACAGTTTGTGTGTTTGACCTAAGGTTGTATCTCTCCTGGTCTTACCATGTGGAAACTCTGGTCCATGATCATCTCTGGGTCTGATCCTCAACCTCTGGGTCTGATGAAGGACCATGTGTTGGTGACTCAATGGCGACCTCTGCTGTTTATGTAAAATCATGACAATATGACGGAAACACGTACATGCTGTAACCCCAAAACAAATGAGTTGGTCTGTAAAAGATAGACAAAATGTAAAATATGAAAAGATATAGAAAATCGGTCTCGAATAATATTCAGAGTATACATTTTAATTATGTTTGTGGTTTTGTGTTCAATCATGAAATAACAACCATCCATCCATCCATCCATCTTCTTCCCCCTGTATTAGAGTCTTTGCTGCGAGGTTATGGTCCTCTTGGTTAGAGTCAGGGTTAGACACTTATGGTCCGATACCATGTGATCTCTCCCTATGGTCCAATACCATGTGGTCTCTCCCTATGGTCCAGTACCATGTGGTCTCTCCCTATGGACCAATACCATGTGGTCGCTCCCTATGGTCCAGTACCATGTGGTCTCTCCCTATGGACCAATACCATGTGGTCGCTCCCTATGGTCCAATACCATGTGTCTTAACTGTTGATTCTCTGATCTGTAGAGATTTCAATAGTTTAAAGTCTCTGAGAAACTACTGTTGTTATTTAGGAAACAACAAGAATAAACTGAATTGAATTGATTTAATTCATTCATTCATTCATTTGAGGGGGGGGGGGGGGGTCCACAGGAAGATGGCTGCTACATCAGTGGTGCCACAGCCTTGGTGTTTCAGCGGGAGCTTCAGGCAATGTGGGGTTAAGTGTCTTGCCCAAGGACACAACGACAGCAAGGCCAATGCTCTACCAACTGAGCTACTGTCGCCTCACTCTCCATTGGATGAATTAATAATAATAATTAAAGCCACAAGCGGCGTGTGGAGCAATTTTCAGCCAAATCGGTGAAACGACCGAGGCTGGTTTGATGTTTGTGCCATAGACACAGAATGGGGAGCGTTTGTCATCGCCACGGCAACAGGGTAAATTCACTTTTTGAATCAAGAGGGCAAAACAGAATTATGTGCAAAATTTCAAACATTTTGACGAAACTAAATGTGATTGTCCTCATGTAAAACTTTGACATAGTCTGTAATGGGCCAATTTCAATTATTTCACGTTCACATGACCTTGCTCCCCCCCTGGACTGCCACCTTATCGTGGGGGGGAGTTTGAGTACTCTGATGATCCTGGGAGCTATGTTGTCTGAGGTTTTATGCCCCTGGTAGGGTCTCCCATGGCAAACAGGTCTCAGGTGACGAGTCAGACGAAGCGCAGTCCGAAGCCAGAATGGATAGCACGACTACGACAACCGGAAGAGCCCGACCTTGTGGGGGAGGTTGAGCGATACCGACTAGAGATAGTCGGCCTCACCTCCACACACAGCTTGGGCTCTGAACCCAACTCCTTGAGAGGGGATGGACGCTCCACTTTTCTGGTGTTTCTCGCGGGGAGAGGCGGCGAGCGGGGGTGGCCATTCCCATTGCCCCCCATCTCAGCCGCCACGTGTTGGAGGTCTCCCCGGTGAATGAGAGGGTCGCATCCCTCCGCCTTCGGGTGGGGGAAGAGTCTCTGTGCCTACGGGCCTAACAGCAGTGCAGAGTACCCGGCCTTCTTGGAGTCCTTGGAAGGGGTACTGGACGGTGCACCGACAGGGGACTCCGTTATTCTCCTGGGGGACTTTGGGGTTCAGTGGTTGGACTTCTGTGCTAGTCATGGTTTGTCCATCACAAACACCATGTTCGAGCACAAAGGTGTCCACCAGTGCACGTGGCACCAGGACACCCTAGGCCAGAGGTCGATGATCAACTTTGTTGTCGTGTCATCTGACCTTCGACCGCGTGTCTCGGACACTCGGGTGAAGAGAGGGGCGGAGCTGTCAAACGATCACCACCTGGTCGTGAGTTGGATTGTTGCTGCTGGCAGGGGAGGAAGCCGGTCAGACCTGGCAGACCCAAGCGTGTACTGGGGGTCTGCTGGGAGCGTCTCGCTGAGCCCCCTGTCAGGCGGACTTTCAACTCATACCTCCAGGAGAGCTTCTCCCAGGTCCCGGGGGAGGAGAGGGACATTGAGTCTGAGTGGATCATGTCCTCCACCTCTGTCACCAATTCTGCAGCTCGTAGCTGTGGTTGCAAGGTCTCTGGTGCTGGTCCCGGCGGTAACCCCTGAACCCGGTGGTGGACACCACTAGTAAGGGATGCCGTCAGGCGGAAAAAGGAGTGCTATCGAGCCATGATGGTGCGTGGGACTCCTGAGGCAGCTGTCCAGTATCGGCAGGCCAAGCGTCGCTTTAGTCTCAGCTCTCTCCCTGACAGTCGCTTTAGTCTCAGCTCTCTCCCTGACAGTCACTTTAGTCTCAGCTCTCTCCCTGACAGTCGCTTTAGTCTCAGCTCTCTCTCTGACAGTCGCTTTAGTCTCAGCTCTCTCTCTCTCTGACAGTCACTTTAGTCTCAGCTCTCTCTCTGACAGTCGCTTTAGTCTCAGCTCTCTCTCTGACAGTCGCTTTAGTCTCAGCTCTCTCTCTGACAGTCGCTTTAGTCTCAGCTCTCTCTCTCTCTGACAGTCGCTTTAGTCTCAGCTTTCTCTCTGACAGTCGCTTTAGTCTCAGCTCTCTCCCTGACAGTCGCTTTAGTCTCAGCTCTCTCTCTGACAGTCGCTTTAGTCTCAGCTCTCTCTCTGACAGTCGCTTTAGTCTCAGCTCTCTCTCTGACAGTCGCTTTAGTCTCAGCTCTCTCTCTGACAGTCGCTTTAGTCTCAGCTCTCTCTCTGACAGTCGCTTTAGTCTCAGCTCTCTCTCTCTCTGACAGTCGCTTTAGTCTCAGCTTTCTCTCTGACAGTCGCTTTAGTCTCAGCTCTCTCCCTGACAGTCGCTTTAGTCTCAGCTCTCTCTCTGACAGTCGCTTTAGTCTCAGCTCTCTCTCTCTCTGACAGTCGCTTTAGTCTCAGCTTTCTCTCTGACAGTCACTTTAGTCTCAGCTCTCTCTCTGACAGTCACTTTAGTCTCAACTCTCTCTCTGACAGTCGCTTTAGTCTCAGCTCTCTCTCTCTCTGACAGTCACTTTAGTCTCAGCTCTCTCTCTGACAGTCGCTTTAGTCTGTCAGAGAGACAGACTAAAGCTCTCTCTCTGACAGTCGCTCTCTCTCTGACAGTCGCTTTAGTCTCAGCTCTCTCTCTGACAGTCGCCTTAGTCTCAGCTCTCTCTCTCTCTTTTAACCTAACACAGGGGAATAGACGATGTGTCTCTGCTGATTTTGTGGTGCAGCGACAATGGCACATTTATACCTCACAGTAATTCCTCAAAAACATACATCGTCCACAGAACTGAGTTTAGCTTTGGTTAATTCAAAGCTAGAATTTAAATTAAAAAAATAACTGAGGACATTTCATTTTCAAAGTTCCTCATATTGTAGAAGGTTAAACCAACAGATGTAATACTTACACATTTTTAACTTGAGCTTCAGATTGAAATTAAATGGAAACTACATGAAAAGTCCAGACCACAGTAGTGTCGTTCTGATGTGGCCCAGACGACTGCCCTCTGGGTTCTACCAGCACCATCCACATCAGGGTCTATGCCACTTGGCTATAGTAGTTTTTTCATACATAACTTTTATGAATGGATGAGGTTATGGAACATGAAAACCCTTGTTCAGAGGGAACAGTCCAAGGCTGTTTTTAATAATTGCATTTTTATTAATTCAAAACAAAAATGAATGCAAATTAAAAAAAAAAAAGAGCCAAAAGTTGAACAGTATCATTGAGACGAGACGCTTAAATAAAGGAGCATGTTGTATTTACTGATCCTCACCGGGTTTGTACAGAAGGACGGGACCAGAGACAGACACCAGAGAAAGGCACTATCAGAGAGAACACTGACACATCAACAGCTGTGGGACCAGGGACAGGGACTGGAGCTGGCAGCTCAAGTCAGACTGGACTAGTGAAATTTCTCGATAAAAACATTTAGAATGTGACCAGAACAATCCCACAAGTTCAAGCTTCAGATTTGGCAGAACACTTCCTGACAAAAAAAACACAAATAATTTTAGTTTTTTGATGATGTACTAGTCCAGTCAGAGTGAGAGGACGTGAAGAAGTGCTCAACCACATGCTACAACACACAAAACAGTTGAAAACATAACATTTGTACACCATCGACGCTGATCTTTCTAAAGACAATCTTGTTTTTCCAAGAGTCCACGCGGTGAAGTCCACACGGTGAAGTCCACGCGGTGAAGTCCGGTGACGCCTCCGTGTTCTCAGAGTGAAACATTCACTGCAGCAGATTAAATACATTGGTTTTGGCTCAGCCTCTGACAGCGGCTCTGGCTCGTCTTTTTGTTTCCCTCTAAAATGTGGGTGTGTTGTAGCTCAGAGGTACGGTGGCCCAGATGGGACAGGTCACATGTTTTCTCGTACATTCTGTTTTTCTACATTTGGCGAAGCCTTGTTCACCGTCTGTGACGTGTCCCTTTGGGCCATGGATAAAACAGTAAAAACAGGAGAGTTCAACACATGGGTCTAACCAAAGATTCAACATAATTTACAAAGGAAAAAGACAATTTGCGATGAGAGGTAAAACAGATAAACACATACAAATATATAATATATATTTTAAAAAATGGATCTCTCTATAGTCGTTTATTGTACAATGATCTCAGACATGGAAACTTGCGGTAAATGGCATCAGTTTTTTTCTTCTACATTTTTTAAAAACCATTTCTTTTTTTTTCCTTTTTCCTTTTTCTATGTTAAAAGTGGGCGTTTCTTTAGTTTAGGTGATTAACACATGCAGCAGAGGGAACAGGACCAAAGGCAGAATGTTGGGGGGGGGTGGGCTCGCTCCAAGTCCTCGAGCTTTAGGGACGACGGGACAATTCTCAGCAAAAACAAGTCTCATTCTCTCAGCGCCCAATCACCCCCTCCCACCCCTCCTGGCTCCTGCTCGGGGGTGATGGCTCCTCAAGTTTGGGGGTCTGGCCGGTGGTGGTTACATGTTCCGGATGATGGGGGTGACGTAGTTGCGGGGGAACATCCCTGTTTGGCCATGGCAGCCGCCCTTCCACCAGTTGGGGTCAGAGTTGTCCAGGACCTGGATGAAGTCTCCGCGCCTGAAGCCGAGCTCTCCCTCCTCCTGAGGGTCGAAGTCGAACAGCGCCTGGACGTAAGTGGGGTGCTACGGAAAAAAACAGACAGAGACTGTGGGCTCAGTGGTCACATGGTGGGCTCAGTGGTCACATGGTGGGCTCAGTGGTCACATGGTGGGCTCAGTGGTCACATGGTCACATGGTGGGCTCAGTGGTCACATGGTGGATCACATGGTGGGCTCAGTGGTCACATGGTGGGCTCACCTGGTGCACATGTTGCTGCTCGATGTCCCGGAGAAAGATCTGCTGGTTGCGGGACACAGAGGTGGTTCGGTGATAGTCCACCAGCTCGTTCAGAGAGTTGAACTTCACCACCCACAGGAAGTATTTACCAGCACCGTCACGCAGCACTTTGAAATGTTGCACATCGTTTCCAAACCTGTGGAGACAGGACCCGAGTGTCAGTGCGATGGAGAGGAGTGTACATAGAGTAGAACATAGAATAACTTGCTTCACAGACAGAGAGAAGTCTCCTGGTGTATGTCGAGTACGTAGAGTAGAACGTAGAGTAACTTACTTGACAGACAGAGAGAAGTCTCCTGGTGCGCTCTCACTCTCGCGGATCAGGAAAGCCCCGTCGTGCCTCTGTTTGTTCAGCATCTCCTCTGCTTTGGCTCGAGGGATCTTCCCAAAGAACCACCTGTCACATGACATCACAACGGTTACATCATCACGGTCACATGACATCACCACGGTTACATCACCACGGTCAAATGACCTAGTCAAGGGACCATAGTTCCTCTTGGCCAGTTCCCGTCGGCCAGTTATGTTTAAGTTAGAGATTTCATTTTTCTTTAGTATAGAGTTGTTCCTTTATCTTGTGCTGCTCCTCATTCTACTGTTCTGTACCTGCTGATGCAACGCTGACATTTCCTCACTGTGAAAAATGACCTCTTCGATTGTGAAGGAAAAAGATCATTTCTGAGTTTGCAGCAGAGATGGTTCTAATATGTGGAAGAGGAACTGTGTTTGCGTTCTCTCTTTCGGGGGGTGCTATTTACGAACACTATTTCACTTCCTGTTCTGTCTCAGAGCTTCCATCTCTCCACGAGCGTGACGAGTTGAGAAATATGAAGATATGAAAGTGGATAAAAAAAGCTCACTTGAATGAATGATTTAAAAGTGTCTTTTACGGTCAGCTGTGTATCAATAATGGAGGATGAAGATCTAAGCAGAGACTTCCTGCCAGGGGTGTCCAAACATTTATTAAATTTGTTCAATAATGGTCTGACATGTGGCAATAAGATCCTGGCTTACAAAACAAGTATTTCTGACAGACAGACAGTTTAAGTCAAGTTAAAATGGTTACAAGAGCAATAGATCAATGAGTTTGTCATTTCATGTTTTAGAATGAGAAATATTCAGGAGAAAATAAATGGTGAAGGGTACACAACGCTAGTACCCTCCCGATAATACCACCAAGGGGAGGTGTAGAACCCGATGCTACCACCAGGGGGAAGTGTAGAACCCGATGCTACCAGCAGAGGAAGGTGTAGAACCCAATGCTACCACCAGGGGGAGGTGTAGAACCCACCACCAGGGGGAGTTAAGCATTGATTACTTTATATCCTGGATTAAAAGGCCCAGAGCATGTGAACCTTGTGATGCTAACAGTGTGATGCTACATTAGCCTCTCCTTCTCACCACAGCGGGAGTTGAGGCTCTGGCAGATGCCTCAGAGGATTTTTACACTGCTCTAATTAAAGATTCATCATTTGGCCATCTGCCCCCGAGCACGGACCAGAGTGAGGAGACTTCCTGTGGGATTCTGACCTACATTACAGAACCTCGGACCTATATTTATGACCAGCTATTGTTGCAAGAAGCTATTTTGTGTGCTGCCCACAAAAGCAGAGACAGAGGCATGTTGCTCTGCACTACCCAGGGGGAGGGGTTTGAACTACATCATGTTTGTAATTCCTTTATTTTGATTATTCAGCAATAATAATAATAATACAACAGCTACACTTGCACTTTTCACAGGGTTAAGGGCTCAGTGTTTGGATCCAAAAGGATCTTCTCCTTCATAGTTTGTTCATGAAACGTGAAAGTCCTACGAGGCCCAAACGCTCTCTGTTCATTAAAGGATTATATTATAACGTCATGACGCCTCAGACTTCTCTCATCTCTTCATAAGTCTCCAGTGTTTTTGTCAAAGTCAGACTCAGACTTCTCTCCAACACAATGCTTTAGTTCTAACGGCGCCTGGACCTTTAAATATGTTTGTGTCAGTTACACGTTACTTATGCATCAGATGCTTCTCTTCAGTATCTTCATGTTGACGAGGGTGAGGACCAATGAGGACCAAGGACCGAGGACCAATGACCGAGGACCAAGGACCGAGGATCAAGGAACTGAGGACCGAGGAACTGAGGACTGAGGTCCAATGACTGAGCTACACTGACTGAGGTCCAATGACTGAGGTCCAATGACTGAGGACCAATGGTGTAAGCTGCAGCGTTCAAAGTGCAAGAAAAAGTATAGTTTTATTTCATTCAAGCTTCAGTAGTTGCGCAGACACCCACTTGTCTGTGGTAGGTTTCCTCCAGGTGCTCCGGTTTGCCCTGCCACTAAAAGCATGTACTAGTCCCCTTCAACAGCCTAATTAAGTATAAAATGTCTAACTTTAGCATGATGAAGAAGTAAGCTGGTACTTACGGATGGGCCTTCATCTCAATGTAGTTCTTGGGAATGAAACCATCTTTTCCATTGAGCTCCGCCTTGTACCAGTTCTGATCACATTCTTCATTTAACACCTTCAGGAGAGAGAACATGATCATTTAACACCTTCAGGAGAGAGAACATGATCATTTAACACCTTCAGGAGAGAGAACATGATCATTTAACACCTTCAGGAGAGAGAACATGATCATTTAACACCTAAAGCCTCGTCACGTGTGGTTCTGGACTCTCTAAAGCCTCGTCACGTGTGGTTCTTGACTCTCTAAAGCCTCGTCACGTGTGGTTCTGGACTCTCTAAAGCCTCGTCACGTGTGGTTCTGGACTCTCTAAAGCCTCGTCACGTGTGGTTCTGGACTCTCTAAAGCCTCGTCACGTGTGGTTCTGGACTCTCTAAAGCCTCGTCACGTGTGGTTCTGGACTCTCTAAGGCAGGGGTGTCAAACTCATTTTGGTACGGGGGCCAAAAACAACCTAATTGGATTTCAACAAAAATACCCAAAAAACAGTACAAAGTCCAACTTTTTGTGCACATAAACACATTTATATAAAACTTTTTAAAACCATCTTCAGTGTGGTGAGATCCATGGTTATGTTATTATCAGAGAGAAAGCATCAAACTGACCATGATTCAGTTGAAATGAACAAAACAACTTCCATAACGGGATCTATTCTTAACGACTGCAGCAGTGTCTGTGAAAAATAGTCAAATGTCCAAAAATCATCACCTCCATTTACAGCTTTGCCACAACACCTGCCTTTACCATCGGTACCAGACTGAGAGCGTAGGACCAGTCCACATCTACTTTGTACAACGCACAAAGCACTGTCCAGCACCAGCACCAGCAGCAGCACTAGCACCAGCAGCACCAGCAGAAGCACCAGCACCAGCAGCAGCACCAGCAGCGCTCAAAACTCCTCTGTGATAGTTTCAGTAACACCACAAATAAATATGCGACATCAGTAACTTCAGTCTCTTATCAATGGCAACACAGCGTGTGGTTTCTCAGACCATGTCTGAGGCCTGAATAAGAGTTTTAAACTCTCCCTCACTGTGCGGCTGCGATGCTAATGCCATGTTAGCACTCAGTCAGGTAGCGTCCCTTTAACATCAGTAGCATCACTAACCTTTCGCTCGGGGCACCAACAGACTGCTGTTTCTTCAGGGCCAGACATGTTTATCTTCTCAATTCTCCGCTCAAATTGTAGTATTTTTTGCCGAGTTTTGCTGAGGGTGTCACTGTCAGTCACAGAACACGCCCTGGTGGAGCCACTACAGACGCACTTGATTCGCTGCTCAGCTCAGCGCTGTGGCGTCGCGGAACCTTGCGTCACGGAGCGTGGCATGGGGGTGCGGATTTTTTTATTTTATTATTATTATAATTATACATAAATAAGCCGCAGGCCATGTCAAATCTCTTGGCGGGCCGCATGAATGACACCCCTGCTCTAAAGCCTCGTCAGATGTGTTTCTCTGAAGCGACACCTTCACAGATGCTACAGTTGTTCTTTTGTGCTTTACAATTTTTATTTATTTTTCTGCCTAAGTATAAAGTAATAAAGTATATCTATCTAGAGGTCTTTGATCATGGTTCAGCTGATGTTCATGTGCTTCAGGCCCCGTTTAGACGGGGATGCTACAAAGCAATTAAAATATGGAGCGGGGTCATTTTTGCCAAGTCCACAGTGTTTAGACAGAGTGAAAACGATGTAGCTTGCGGCCAAGTACCGGGCAGTGGAACAACTGACCTTTTACAGTCGCAGCGTCTCCATGGAAACGAAAGGACGCGATATGAACTGTGATCTTTTACTGTTGCAGCGTCTCCATGGAAACAGGGCCTAAGTCTCTGTGTGTGTGTGTGTGAATGTGTCTCTCTGTGTGTGTGTCTTGCCTAAAGACACAACCACAGTGTGGCACTTTACAGGCGGCACTGTAGACAGTAGCTGTAGTTTGGGGTACAGTGGCCGTAGTTTGGGATACAGTGGCCGTAGTTTGGGGTGCAGTGGCCGTAGTTTGGGGTGCAGTGGCCGTAGTTTGGGGTGCAGTGGCCGTAGTTTGGGGTGCAGTGGCCGTAGTTTGGGGTGCAGTGGCCGTAGTTTGGGGTGCAGTGGCCGTAGTTTGGGGTGCAGTGGCCGTAGTTTGGGGTGCAGTGGCCGTAGTTTGGGGTGCAGTGGCTGTAGTTTGGGGTGCAGTGGCTGTAGTTTGGGGTGCAGTGGCTGTAGTTTGGGGTGCAGTGGCTGTAGTTTGGGGTGCAGTGGCTGTAGTTTGGGGTACAGAGGCTGTAGTTTGGGGTACAGAGGCTGTAGTTTGGGGTACAGTGGCTGTAGTTTGGGGTGCAGTGGCTGTAGTTTGGGGTGCAGTGGCTGTAGTTTGGGGTACAGTGGCTGTAGTTTGGGGTGCAGTGGCTGTAGTTTGGGGTGCAGTGGCTGTAGTTTGGGGTGCAGTGGCTGTAGTTTGGGGTACAGTGGCTGTAGTTTGAGGTACAGCGGCTGTAGTTTGGGGTGCAGTGGCTGTAGTTTGGGGTACAGAGGCTGTAGTTTGGGGTGCAGTGGCTGTAGTTTGGGGTGCAGTGGCGCTCCGTGTGTCGGGGTGTGTCAGGACCTGAGAGGACTGACCTACTTTGCTCCCAGCAGGGGGTCTGTGAGGACAGTGGGACTGGATTGAGGTCTGGACACAGAATATTAGGAGTAAATAGGTCTTAATGTCTCTTGTCACTAAAGCTGGGAGCCACAGCTGCCACAGCTGCTCCGAGGCAAAGAAGGGTCCGCTTTTAGATAAGACAAACCAAACACATGATATTTTTGCCAATTTAGAATTAATCATTACACGCAAATGTCCGAACTGAATAATACAGAACTCAACTGGAGGAGTTCAAGTATAATGAGGCCACGGTTCGGTTCATTTTTCACACAAAAAAAGTTTTGTCTTTTTAATAACACGGCTCATGTGGACTCGGCACCTGCAGGAGGATCAGTGAGGGGCTGGTGCTCTGTGTACTGGGTGCAGCTCTGACTGCCACCCCCCTGACCTAGAAATGGATTAAGGGGAAGGAAATGGATGGATTAATGGAAGGCATATTCCATCCATCCAATTATGTCTTTTAACATAATTAATGAAAAACAACACAAAGTGCAACATAAGAAGGCACTTTATGACGGTATTTACCCTCATATATTAAACCATCTTCCTGATTCTCCCGAGGAGGCGCTCCATCCTGGGCCCAGTCCAGCCTCATTCACCGCATTTATTTAATTTTTGGCATTTTCAGTTGTGACTGGGATATTAGTACTGGACCTCTGTCTTCCATTCCTCCGCTGCTGTGTTAGTACCTGAGCTGTGTGACTGTCGTAGAGCGGCAGACTTCTCATCTTCCAGTCTGCTGTGATGAAGTGAGTGGTTATCGTAACATATCTCTCCGTTCCGCTCAGATTTATTATAGGTTCCGCGGGACGTCCAAGCGTCAGTCGTGAGCGCAACTGAGGATGCGCGGGAGAGTTGACTTCAGCCCGGTCTGACTGTGCGTAAAGGGGCTGCTTAAATGCCGCGGCAATAAGCGGTCGTTGAGACGTTTTTTTTTCACTCATGTCTTTCTTTTGCCACAGTGTTTACACCGTGACAGTTTTATCGTATACTATTTAATCATCAGTATAGTTAGTGAAGCCAAAATGCTCCCATACAGGGGATTTAAATGACGCGGGGCTTTGAGTGGACTGAACAACTTTTTTTCATAAATCAAACCGCGGATCACGTCTGTACCGAACCGAAGACGTTGATCCGAACGGACCAGCGATGAACCGTTGCACCTCTAATAATGAGTTCTTGTTCATGAGCGAGGGAAGGAGGGAGCAGCATCTGCAGTCAGAGCTCCCCTCCCTCACCTCTGGGGATGAGCTTTGGGTAATAACCCAAAAGCCAAGATTGTGGACACAAGCTCCACATGAGTTATAATGTGCTTTGGTAAAAAAAAAGTAAAACAAGTTTTTCTTCAGCTTTTACCGAAGCTTTTGTTGAGCGATGATACAGAAGTGTTGCATATGTGAGAAACAGCTTTGTTTGCTTCATTATATGTACAGCAGAACAAACAGTTTAGTTCCAATATCCTCCTCAAACACAGATCCAGAGGATATAAAGTGATAAACACTGTTGGTGTCATCCTCACGGTCCTTTAAAGTGCTGTAATCAGGTGTTTACACGACAACAAGTGTCTGGGACAGTCAAACATGTTGTAACAGAACATTAGCTCAGCCACCGGGCGTCATGTTATTTCATACGGTCACATGACAGAAACTTGTGGACCAAATGATGTAACACTCTAGAAAAGGATCGGCTTCATATTTTATCACAATTTAACAGCAACAGCAATAATTCAATAATAAAGCAGGAAAAGGCATCAACAGGTTTTTGAGTCATCGCAGTAAATGAAGATGGGAAAACAGTCTTTTACACTTGTTTGTTATGCTAAAGTTAGATGTTATTCTAGTACAGACTCATTGTTCATCTGCTGTTGTACAACTCATTAAACACAACTTTGGTCCAGTTTCAGCCTCAGATGTTTAAGTCTGTAATCTGTAGTTTGAGGTCAGAGGGAAGAGCCACAGTCTGCTCCATCGTAGCAAAAGGACCATTTATGAAACAACACAGAGTCAGTGTCAGGATGAGAGGCCAAGACTTAACTACCGCCATCTGACCCAGACAGCCTGGAAAGAGAGGGGAGGAGAGAGGGAGAGGAGGGGAGGGGAGGGGGGAGAGGAGGAGAGGAGAGAGGGAGAGGGGGAGAGGAGGGAGGGAAAGGAGGGAGGGAAAGGAGAGGGGGAGAGGAGGGGAGAGGGAGGGACAGGAGCGAGGGAAGGGGGGAGGGAGAGGAGGGAGGGAGAGGAGAGAGGGAGAGGAGAGAGGGAGAGGAGAGAGGGAGAGGAGAGAGGGAGAGGAGAGAGGGAGAGGAGAGAGGGAAAGGAGAGAGGGAAAGGAGAGAGGGAAAGGAGAGAGGGAAAGGAGAGAGGGAGAGGAGGGAGGGAAGGGGTGAGGGAGAAACCCCTGAAGAGTGTGGTGGATGAGGAGCACTTTGAAGAGACCTGGTCTGAGTCTGAGGAACACAGCTTTGGGCTAAAGAGAAACCAGGGCAGCTCTTTTCACAGACTCAGCTTTGGCATCGTCCTCAATCCAGATCCTTTATCTGCAGCAACCCCTCCTCCCGCTCCTTTGAGCGGTAACAGACGCTCCAAGAACACCACAGACGCTCCAGAACACCACAGACGCTCCAGAACACCACAGACGCTCCAGAACACCACAGACGCTCCAGAACACCACAGACGCTCCAGAACACCACAGACGCTCCAAGAACACCACAGACGCTCCAGAACACCACAGACGCTCCACACCACAGACGCTCCAGAACACCACAGACGCTCCAGAACACCACAGACGCTCCAGAACACCACAGACGCTCCAGAACACCACAGACGCTCCAGAACACCACAGACGCTCCAGAACACCACAGACGCTCCAGAACACCACAGACGCTCCAGAACACCACAGACGCTCCAGAACACCACAGACGCTCCAGAACACCACAGACGCTCCAGAACACCACAGACGCTCCAGAACACCACAGACGCTCCAGAACACCACAGACGCTCCAGAACACCACAGACGCTCCAGAACACCACAGACGCTCCAAGAACACCACAGACGCTCCAGAACACCACAGACGCTCCAAGAACACCACAGACGCTCCAGAACACCACAGACGCTCCAGAACACCACAGACGCTCCAGAACACCACAGGCGCTCCAAGAACACCACAGACGCTCCAAGAACACCACAGACGCTCCAAGAACACCACAGACGCTCCAAGAACACCACAGACGCTCCAGAACACCACAGACGCTCCAGAACACCACAGACGCTCCAGAACACCACAGACGCTCCAAGAACACCACAGACGCTCCAAGAACACCACAGACGCTCCAGAACACCACAGACGCTCCAAGAACACCACAGACGCTCCAGAACACCACAGACGCTCCAGGACTGAACCACACCAGAAGCGCAGAATGAACTAGATTCTAGCATCAAATCTTGTTCAATCTTCAAGTATTTGTGAAGATATGACTCTTCCATGTTCCAGCTTCTTCCGTCTGGCTGAAGATATCGTTCCCTGCAGGACATCTGGATATGCTAACAACTTCTTTCAGCTGTTCTCAGTCTGAAAAAAGTCTTTAATGATCTTGAATGCGTGTGTGAGATGGCGACAGAGCAGTTTTAAAAGTAACTAAAGTCCGCCTCCTCCGTGGCTGCAGCGTTCTGACTCGGGGCAGCTGCGGCCGCTCTGGACAGAGGTTCTCACCTCCAGCGGCTGTGAGCCGCTGACAACAACACGGTGAATGGCGCCGCGGTAACTTGATCCAAGACCATACACGCACAGAACTATTCTCTGCATGTTGTGTGCGTGTCTTTGTGTATCCTGTGCACGCAAATACACACTGAAGCTGAACTATGGAGCCTCAGGAAGTGTCTCCTGAAACTAAACTCGAAAAATTAAAGCTGGGGTACATACATTTTCCCTTCCATTTACAGCTCATGATGGTTGTGCCCAAAAGTTAAAAGTTGACGGATTTAAACACAGATTTAAGATTTACATTTGATAATCTCATTTCATTTGGACTGGATTTGAAAATGTAAAAAATGCTATTAATGGCGAGTTAACTCACCATTCCTATGCGATTAATCAACTAAAAAAATGTATAGTATAGTACATAGTTTGACAGCCCTAATATATATATATATATATATATATATATATTAGAGCTGCAACTAACGATTATTTTAATAAATCGATTAATCTGTTGATTATTTCTTCAATTAATCGGATAAAAAAAGCCTTTTTAGTTTCCATCCCGTTATTAAAAACGTGGCCTTGGATCAACTCAAAGAAACATACAAATGTGTGCTCTGCAGTAAAAAGTAAAGTGCACAAAAACAGGTTTTGTTGTTTAACCCAAAGAGCAATAACAGACAAGACGCGTTTGTGTATTTAAGTCATTTTTAGGGTAATTATACGTTGTTGAGTGCATATACTCAAAAACGTTTGACATTTTTATTTCAAAAGGCTGTAACTTAAAAGTGATAGGAGATAAAGACTTTCTGTAAACTACAGAATTATTAAGGATGGCCAAAAGTTTTTTGTAGGGAATAAGTGTACCCATCTAATTAGCATATTATGACATCATATGGCGTTGGATATTGTGGATTTTAGAATTTTCATAAAATGTGTCTCCCCTGCTCTCTCTCATCTCCCCCGCTCTCCCTCTCCTCTCCTTCTCTCTCCTCTACCCTGCCCTCTCTCTTGTCTAACACCAGACAAAGGTTTCTCCAACACGTTACTGTCCCGGTGATGGCGGGAGGCTTGATAATACATCTGTGGGAGGCACTATTTGCGGAGATTTTACCGGAGACTAGCAAGGGCTGGAGTTGCGGCGCGGCGCCCCGACGTGACTTCCGGGCTTGTTCTCCGCAAATCTAACCTGTCTCCAAACCTCCCAATGACAGCCCTTGACCCTGAGAAACACTGTTCCCACTGACTCTGTGCAAAGTGTCTAAAGTTAGTGCGGTACAACACTTGCACGCTTCCTTTGCGTTGCTATTCTGCACTGGTTCAACGCTGTCTTGCTCAAATTAATGCCTCCACCATAGACTATTCAAAATGACCACCTTCGCCACACTCTGGTCTTCTTCTGTGGAGTTTTACGGCAGTGTGCATGCAGTGTTGTGTAGTTCTGTGGTGCATGTGCGTCCGTCTGCTCAACCATAGAACTACAAGAATGCGCCCAACTCGCGCGCTCGGTGACATATTAATTGCGCGACACAACGAATCGATACCAAATTCGTTTTTTTCTGCCTAATAATAATAATCGATTTTTATCGATATTATTGATTCGTTGTTGCAGCCCTAAAATACACATATATATATATTACAGTATACATATCACACATACATAAATATACATAATCAGTTAGTTTTATATTTGACTAAACACAGTCCTAGCTTCAGTACTTTGTACCTCTCCATATTCGCCGCAGCCTTTATTATCCCCAGAGCAGACGTTAGATAAGACTTTAAAGGCTTATGTAAAAAGCCTTTTGGAAAAGCAGCTGAAATGCAGAGAGCTGCTGCAACAGGAACCTGCTGTTTATTTAAATAATAGTAATGAAAAAGTCACTTCTCCAGAGGCTGCAGCAGTGAGCAGTGAGAAAGAGCACCATGACAGAGGCCTCTAAGACCACAACTGCTTAGTATGGGTGCCATACAGACCAAGGCACCATAACTAAGGGACCATAACTGAGGGACCATCACTGAGGGACCATCACTGAGGGACCATCACTGAGGGACCATCACTGAGGGACCATCAATGAGGGACCATCAATGAGGGACCATCAATGAGGGACCATCAATGAGGGACCATCAATGAGGGACCATCAATGAGGGACCATAATGAGGGACCATCACTGAGGGACCATAATGAGGTACATAATGAGGACCATCACTGAAGGACCATAATGAGAGACCATCACTGAGGGACCATCACAAGGGTCTCCACATGTACAGCTGCTCCAACGATCGACAGCCTTGTAAAGTCCTCAGAGATGAATACTGTGATTTAGTGCAATACATAAATAAATGTAATTGAACATTCATATGTTTTACTCCGGCCACTGATTTTCCCATTGGTGTCTGAGTGGTCTTGTAAAGAGAATAAAGGTTCATTTGGAACATTTGTCAAAGTGAAGAGAGTCAGTGGGATCAGGCTCTGACGACACGTGCCTCCAAACAAAAGGATTAAAACACTTAAATCCACCACCGCAGAGAGAAACTACTGCCTTTATCGTGGTCTTGTGATCTGCAAATGCCAGGGCAGGTTCACAAACATCAGATTTACTGCGAGGTCCGTCCATCGGCAAGTGTCACAACAACCACAGACTCACAACAACCACAGACTCAGGAAAGACAAGCAGAAGAATATCTTCATTGCGTTGGTTTTTATACGTTCAAACACTTCACACGTCATTCATTCTCTATCTGTGCAAAATGTGACATGTACATTTCTCCAATGTGAAATCTATCTGAAAGTCTATCTTATCTTAAAGCTGCACTAACGGACTTTGACATTCCAAGTCGTTGAATCTTTACAGGGTTTACAACTGCTGTCATTTTTTACATCAGTGAATTCCAAAAAAATACATCTGAGGCCAAGATACAGCAATAAAATGCCTTTATACGCCCAGAGTCTGGAACAGACTTCCTGAAAATGTGAGACAGGCTTCTTCTCTGAAAATGTGCAAATCCAGGTTAAACACAGTTCTGTTTCTGCAACAACTGAAAAATTGATTTTTACTCTTTTGAATGTACTGTGATTATTTAATGTTGATTCCTTGTGTGACTGTCTCCATCTTGTTTTTTCAGCCCTTTGAGGTGCCTTGTGTATGAACTGTGCTATACAAATAAACTTGCCTTACATATTCTCAGACATTGATTAGATTAAACTTTTTTGTCATTACGACAGCAGAATGTAATGCACTTTAGCATCTGTCTAGCAGAGCAACAGCAGTTTGGGAGATTACCTTGAGGATTTCCCCACGCTTGAAGCTCAACTCGTCGTCGGCGGTGGCGGTGAAGTCGTATTTGGCGACAGCCTCCATGGCGGCGTGTGTGACCACGGCTGAAGAGGACACTTTGCTGCTGACCGAGTCTCTCCTCCCGTCTGTGACCCGCTGCTCTGGGCGACGAGCTCACATACAGGTGTCGGCCCGTCACCTGCACAATCACAGAGTCATTATAAGATCTTTTATCTGTCCCACGGTGAAGACATTTCAATGTTGCAATGCAACAGAACAGTAGTAAGAGCACACAGAATATACAATATGAGTATCTGCTATGTATCGTACCTGTAAATGCTTCATTATAATAATAAAAGCAGTTTTACACAGTTCTTTTTAGGACTATCAAAGTCTCTTCAAATCATTATTCTTTCTCTCCAAAGGGTTGGGGTTGGGGCACGCTGACAGAAGTGAGACAACCAGTCCGTGCCTTCGGCCCCTCCCACCACCACCAACCATTCACACACACTAGACTCATTTTAATATGGGTGAAGGACACAACCACAGTTTGGCACTTTACAGCCCCAGTTGCTCCACTGTGGCACCTGGTGTTCCGATCACAGTACTAACCAGGCCCTGCCCTGCTTAGCTTCAGAGGTCTGACAGGATCTTTTTGTGGCCCCTGTCGCGCTGTTGCGCGTGGAGTAGTTCCCATCTTCACAGACCTGGTAACTCAGTCTTCAGTATGGTGTCTGTACTTTAGCCTGGTAACAGTTTTCCTGTGAGTCTCTGATGGAACTTTTCTGATCCATGTCTTGATGCTTCAGCCTCAGTTTCCACTTGTTTGTTATAACGACATGAGGTCGTTGCGACGGCGTGAGGTCGTTGCGATGGCGTCGGGACCGCGTGAGGTCGTCGGAGGTTGTTGTGAGGTCGTCGGAGGTTGTTGTGAGGTTGTCGGAGGTTGTTGTGAGGTCGTCGGAGGTTGTTGTGAGGTCGTCGGAGGTTGTTGTGAGGTCGTCGGAGGTTTTTTGCGACGGCGTGAGGTAGGGCTGGGCGATATGGCAACAAAGTAAAACCTCGATTTTGTTTCCTGCTTTGGACGATTTCAATTTTAAATCGATTTTCATTAAACTCACCAAAGAAAGACTTTGCACTTAAAAATATGTTTTGCTCTTTCCGCTCAATATTCAAGTTTCAAAACTATTTTCAGTTTGTTTCCACCAATATGTATTATAAAAGTCTTGTACAGACTGCTGATATTGAAAGTATAATGTGCTGCTGGAACTCTCACAATATCCTTCAATCGATTTCACGATTTTAACATTTTTCACAAATTTGATTTTTTCATAATCCGATTAATTGCCTAAATTCGATTTATTGCCCAGCCCTAGCGTGAGGTCGTCGGAGGTTGTCGGAGGTCGTCGGAGGTCGTCGGGACGGCGTGAGGTCGTCGGGACGGCGTCGGGACGGCGTGAGGTCGTCGGGACGGCGTGAGGTCGTCGGGACGGCGTGAGGTCGTCGGAGGTCGTCGCGACGGCGTGAGGTCGTCGGAGGTCGTCGCGACGGCGTGAGGTCGCCGGAGGTTGTCGCGACGGCGTGAGGTCGTCGGAGGTTGTCGCGACGGCGTGAGGTCGTGGAGGTTGTCGCGACGGCGTGAGGTCGTCGGAGGTTGTCGCGACGGCGTGAGGTCGTCGGAGGTTGTCGCGACGGCGTGAGGTCGTCGGAGGTTGTCGCGACGGCGTGAGGTCGTCGGAGGTTGTCGCGACGGCGTGAGGTCGTCGGAGGTTGTCGCGACGGCGTGAGGTCGTCGGAGGTTTTTTGCGACGGCGTGAGGTCGTCGGAGGTTGTTGCGACGACGTGAGGTCGTCGGAGGTTGTTGCGCGGCGTGAGGTCGGAGGTTTTTTGCGACGGCGTGAGGTCGTCGGAGGTTGTTGCGACGGCGTGAGGTCGTCGGAGGTTGTTGCGACGGCGTGAGGTCGTTCCGACGGCGTGAGGTCGTCGGAGGTTGTTCCGACGGCGTGAGGTCGTTCCGACGGCGTGAGGTCGTCGGAGGTTGTTCCGACGACGTGAGGTCGTCGGAGGTTGTTCCGACGGCGTGAGGTCGTCGGAGGTCGTTCCGACGGCGTGAGGTCGTCGCGACGGCGTGAGGTGATCGCGACCGCGTGAGGTCGTTGCGACGGCGTGAGGTCGTTGCGACGGCGTGAGGTCGTTGCGACGGCGTGAGGTCGTTGCGACGGCGTGAGGTCGTTGCGACGGCGTGAGGTCGTTGCGACGGCGTGAGGTCGTTGCGACGGCGTGAGGTCGTTGCGACGGCGTGAAAGTTAGAGTAAAGTCTATTCTTTATATCGAACGCATCAATATAGACATCGCAGTAGAACACTCAGATGGGGTCTTGGGTCCATATAAAAGCTTAACATTGGTTCAAAGGTGTCCCATTTACAAATGTGCAATTTCACTAACTATGAAATGAATGTTACATGTTTTTATTTAGTATATGCAATAAACTGAAGTCATGTGAGCCGAGTCTTGTGCCACATCCAAGGGACGCAGACCTGAAGGAAAAACAAACATGATGTTGATGGCCACAAAGGGCTCCTGCTGAAGCCTATAGCCACCTGTCCATGGATCAGAGGCTTAGAGCTGCATTAGAGCTGCAGGGCTGACAGTGACAGAGAGGATAGGGGCTGAGTTAAAGGGATAACCCTCCATCATCTCATTACCGTGTTTCTAATAGGACTGCAGCTTTGACAGGGTTAGGGCGCCTTCTGTAATGACATTAACTTCAGTAGGATAACGTAAACAATAGGTTCGATTAGCTTAGAATACAGTTCCATCCAGTTTCGACAAGAAAAGCTTTAAAAAAAACGTCGAAAAAGAACCATGTAATAGAGAGAGGAAATGCAAAAAGGGGAAACTGGTGGTGGGTGGATATGCAAACCAAACAGCTCCATTTGTCTCTGAGTTAGAATGAAACAAGGAAGTGGCACCAAAACCAGCACATTAGACAATTAAAAATCAGCTTTAGCTGCACTTATTCCCACTCAAGTGTGGTTCAATTGTTATAAAGAAAACTGGCTGCACCCACTAAGCCACTGCTGTGTAGCATACATGCTAATACTAATGCTAGTCCGATAACAATAACTGCGCTGCGGTGAAATTACTACATATTTTAATTCAGAGCGTTGTGTAAAATGTGACCCGTGTCCATGAAAAGAAGCATACGGTGTATAAATATCCAAGTAATTAACTGGGAGTATTTAGTCTTAAACTGACAAACCCAAAATGATTGTCAACATTTTCCGACCGCAGACTGATAATGCTAGCATAGCACAGCTAGCATAGCACAGCTAGCATAGCATAGCATAGCACAGCTAGCATAGCACAGCTAGCATAGCACAGCTAACATAGCATAGCACAGCTAGCATAGCACAGCTAGCATAGCACAGCTAGCATAGCACAGCTAACATAGCACAGCACAGCTAGCACAGCGCACTGGGCTTAGCCTGCGTCGCGAAGAGGAACACAACTTTCACTCCGCGAACACAATCCTTCCCAAAAACTCACCGATGTTTAATCCGAACAGATCCCGAAAACTGAACGAGTCTCCCCCAATAGTGTCACGGTCCGCGCCCGCGTCCTGAAGCAGAGAAGTGACAGGAGGAGGCTGTCTCCCGGGTCCAGCTCTGACTGCACCGCTTCCGCTTCCTTTCCCCCGTCTTGCTGCTCTCTGCTGCGGGGAGGGTCTGGCTCAAGCCCCGGTGTGAGGACTATGGTCGTCCAGCTCCTCCCCTGAAGGCTGGTGCTGCGACTCTGAAGTCAGCCCATCAGGGGCCAGGCAGGGGCCAAGGGCCAGTCAGGGACCAGGGGCCAAGCAGGGACCACAACTGCTTCTAATTATGCTGTGTGTTAAAGTAATAAAAATAATGGAATCCCTAGTGTTTGGCACAGTCTGGGAGATGTTTGGGGGATTTGCAATTTACAGATGACATCTCACATGTACAGGCTCAGCAGTCAATTTAGAAAGACAATCGATAAAAAGGCCTTTTTTTTTTTTTTTAAATATGGCAGTAATCGTTTTTCACTGTGGGAAAAGCAACAAAAACAACTACTCAAGTAATGTTATACTATACTGGCAATGAGAGAACCACAGAGAGGACCACAGAGAGGACCACAGAGACCTCTGGTCTCTGTTAAGTCTCTTTATGGTCTCTCCTTAGTCTCTCTCTGTTCGCTCTCTGTTCGCTCTCTGGTCTCTCTCTGGCCTCGCTCTGGTTTCTCTCTGGTCCCTCTACAGTCTCTCTGTTCTCTCTTTGGTCTCTCTCTGGTCTCTCTCTAGTCTCTATGGTCTCTCTCTCTGCTCTCTTTAGTCTTTCTATAGTCTCTCTCTGGTCTCACTCTCTCTCTGGTCTCTCTCCGGTCTCTCTCTGGTCTCTCTCTGGTCTCTCTCTCTGCTCTCTTTAGTCTCTCTTTAGTCTCTCTATAGTCTCTCTCAGGTCTCTCTCTGGTCTCTCTCTGGTCTCTCTCTCTGCTCTCTTTAGTCTCTCTTTAGTCTCTCTATAGTCTCTCTCAGGTCTCTCTCAGGTCTCTCTCAGGTCTCTCTCTGGTCTCTCTCTGTTCTCTCTCTGGTCTTTCTCTGTTCTCTCACTGGTCTCTCTCTGGTCTGACACTATAGTCTCTCACTGGTCTCTCTGGTCTCTCGCTGGTCTATGTATGCGCTGTGGTTTGGGTCATGTTCATATCCGCAGTTGCATCTGGTTTCCATTATTTGATGTTGCAACAGTCACGAGACACAGCCTGGACGATAGCTCCACCTGGAGGCGAGGTGTGGAACAGCAGAACATGAAGTCAGTTGGCACGTGGCATCCATCAGAGGTGACAAAAACCACAACAGTAGTTTTCTCAGAGGACTTTACAAAACTGTCGATTCTCTAACACAGATCAGAAAATCAAGTTCAAACAAAAGAAATGCAACGATAACAAACAGGATTTAACTGAGAGGCTCGCCATCGATGGTTTCTCTCCTCGCCATCGTTAGACACCAATATTGGGACACCATCGTTGGACACCATCGTTGGACACCATCGTGGGACTGCCCTGAATCACGGCCTCAAGTAAAAAGAAATGTATTTGAAAAACATTGTCCAAACTTCTGATATGTACTTTTGCCTTTTCCCTCAAATATACAATACTGTATATACTGCACATGGTATCTCCAGTCACTGAACATGGTATTTCCAGTCACTGAACATGGTATCCCCAGTCACTGAACATGGTATCTCCAGTCACGACACATGGTATTTCAAGCCACTACACATGGTATCCCCTGTCACTACACATGGTATCTCCAGCCACTATACATGGTATCTCCAGTCTGTACACATAGTATCTCCAATCACTACACATGGTATCTCCAGTCACTACACATGGTATCTCCTGTCACTACACATGGTCTCATATTGTATATTTTATTACTTAGTTTTTCTCAGTCGCTTTGGTGCATTTCTCAGACTTAAATTTCTCAAAACTATTAGTTCAACCTCCACAACATTGAGTCATGTGTGACATCATCGCAGCAGTTTCTCCTTTGAACAGATTACAAATGCTTTTGTTCATGTATCAGTTACTTTCATACAATTCTATGCTGTTTTATAACATTATCATTGCTTCTGTCCTGTCAGTCAGAATGAAACGGACTTATCACTTCTGAATAGTCATTCTCTATAAAACCAATAGTCCTCATTTCATCGCAAAACCAAAATCTGTCAAACTAGTTTCATACATTCCTTTATCGTTTATTTTTTTCTGAAAATCTTTCCTAAATTGAACAATTTCTCAGGTGAATTTCAGCTTCAGTCAGGAGGAGGTGTGTGTTTTATTGTTTACATATGTCACAGTTCTACCATTACAGGAAAAAAAAGATAAAGGAATGTATGAAATTAGCTTGACAGATTTTGGTTTTGAACTAGTTCAACAGTTTTATTTTTGACGACTCAAGCGATGAAATCAGGACTATTGGTTTTATAGGGAATATTCAGAAGTGATAAGTCCGTTTCATTCTGACTGACACGACAGAAGCAATGATAATGTTATAAAACAGCATAGAATTGTATGAAAGTAACTGATACATGAACAAAAGCATTTGTAATCTGTTCAAAGGAGAAACTGCTGCGATGATGTCACACATGATGTCACACATGACTCAATGTTGTGGAGGTTGAACTAGAAGTTTTGAGAACTTTAAGTCTGAGAAATGCACCAAAGCGACTGAGAAAAACTCTAACAAAACCATTGAAATCACCAACACAGATCAGAGAATCAACAGTTAAGACACAAACTATACACATATGGTCCATAAGGAGAGACCAATGTCATACATGTTGATAAATGTCAAAAATGTTGATAAATGTCCTACTTGTTGATAAATGTCATACATGTTGATAAATGTCATACATGTTGATAAATGTCCAAACATGTTGATAAATGTCCATACATGTTGATAAATGTCATACATGTTGATAAATGTCCATACATGTTGATAAATGTCCATACATGTTGATAAATGTCATACATGTTAATAAATGTCACACATGTTGATAAATGTCCATACTTGTTAATAAATGTCAAACATGTTAATAAATGTCCTACTTGTTGATAAATGTCAAACATGTTGATAAATGTCCATACATGTTGATAAATGTCACACATGTTGATAAATGTCACACATGTTGATAAATGTCATACATGTTGATAAATGTCACACATGTTGATAAATGTCATACATGTTGATAAATGTCACACATGTTGATAAATGTCATACATGTTGATAAATGTCATACATGTTGATAAATGTCATACATGTTGATAAATGTCACACATGTTGATAAATGTCATACATGTTGATAAATGTCACACATGTTGATAAATGTCAAACATGTTAATAAATGTCCTACTTGTTGATAAATGTCCATACATGTTAATAAATGTCAAACATGTTGATAAATGTCCATACATGTTGATAAATGTCACACATGTTGATAAATGTCATACATGTTGATAAATGTCACACATGTTGATAAATGTCATACATGTTGATAAATGTCACACATGTTGATAAATGTCATACATGTTGATAAATGTCATACATGTTGATAAATGTCATACATGTTGATAAATGTCACACATGTTGATAAATGTCATACATGTTGATAAATGTCACACATGTTGATAAATGTCATACATGTTGATAAATGTCACACATGTTGATAAATGTCACACATGTTGATAAATGTCATACATGTTGATAAATGTCACACATGTTGATAAATGTCATACATGTTGATAAATGTCACACATGTTGATAAATGTCATACATGTTGATAAATGTCACACATGTTGATAAATGTCATACATGTTGATAAATGTCCTACTTGTTGATAAATGTCATACATGTTGATAAATGTCACACATGTTGATAAATGTCATACATGTTGATAAATGTCACACATGTTGATAAATGTCATACATGTTGATAAATGTCACACATATTGATAAATGTCATACATGTTGATAAATGTCCTACTTGTTGATAAATGTCATACATGTTGATAAATGTCACACATGTTGATAAATGTCATACATGTTGATAAATGTCACACATGTTGATAAATGTCACACATGTTGATAAATGTCATACATGTTGATAAATGTCATACATGTTGATAAATGTCATACATGTTGATAAATGTCAAACATGTTGATAAATGTCAAAAATGTTGATAAATGTCCTACTTGTTGATAAATGTCACACATGTTGATAAATGTCACACATGTTGATAAATGTCATACATGTTGATAAATGTCAAACATGTTGATAAATGTCAAAAATGTTGATAAATGTCCTACTTGTTGATAAATGTCATACATGTTGATAAATGTCATACATGTTGATAAATGTCCAAACATGTTGATAAATGTCATACATGTTGATAAATGTCATACATGTTGATAAATGTCATACATGTTGTAGAATGTTCAAGTGTCCTGGATCATCACCATAGTCCTTCTAGTTGGACACTAACTGCCCAACAGACCCTCCTGCATCGGCAAGGATGGGAAAAAAAGTGAGAAACTTCGGGGAGACCCACATATTGAGAAAGGGATCCGTTCCACACGGACGGACGGGCTATAGATTCAGGACTGAGGACTGAGGCTGTAGATCCAGGACCTAAGGCCCCGACTCCACCGGGTGCGTAAAACGGACGACGGATCCGTCCAAACATGTCCGTTTCATCTCCGTCTCCGTTATCTCCATGAGGGTGAATGGAAGTGGCTCCACTGCCTCCGCATGCGTCGGACGTATTCCGTTAGCGGGGGGTGCAACGGACGCGGACGGACGAAATAGAAACAATCCTATTTGTTCCGTTCGTTGACGCGTGTCGGGTCCGTTTTCCATTGAAAATACAATGGAATAATATATTTACAACATTATTAAACATGTATTGATATATGCTGTAGTCCTTGGTTATAAGTATTTGTTAATGACAATGATTATTAACAAACGTGTGTAACGTTTTTTCATGTATTACTTTAATAATTGTTTCCTGATCGTACATCTACCATTTATTTTTCGCGTAATGTTAATACGCTAATCTTTACATACACCTCGCTCTTGTTTCTCTCGCTCTGTCCCGTCTATACATAGTTCCCACAGACCAATGAATGTCACATGACCTCCTCGGAGACGCCATCTTTGATGACACGCTGCTGTGTTTGTGCATTCCATTAAACAGAAGAATGAGAATAAATGTAGATATTCAAACGCAAATTGGAAAAAAAGGGCAACTTTTGAGCAAATAATTGTATATTAATACAATGGCACCACAGTTTAACGTGCTACGGACATGTTTTACATATTTGATCAAATTATGCAGCAAAAATTAACAAGCAATGCAAACATTTCTCAAAAACTTTATATTTAATACCAGTTGGAGCTCCATTTAATTATTTTAATTATATTAACAATTAATTTAATTAATGCTAATGCCACACGGACACTCTGGATTGCTGTTATTGTTTATTTCCGCGTTTTTGACCGTATGTTTTGGTGAATGGTGGGCAACTGATTTTTCCAGGCGTAAAGAGCAGTTTATTTTATGACACAGATCTTTTTACAGAAGCAATGCTGTTTGTGAACATTGTTTTAGCCCACCATAGAACTATTATCTATTTAATACATTTACGTTGCCCTCGAGAGCCTCGGACGCGACACCGATCCTCCTCATAATGAAGTAATCTAAATAATGAAACTCTCAAGTTACCAGATATCAGCATACACAAGTTAGTACTGAGTAAATTACGTCTGTCAACACATTATAAGATACGATACGCACCTGACACAAAGTGCTCCGAGCATATTCTTGCGTGTTTTGAGGGAGTTTCTTGCCTGTTTATCTTCGCAAGCCATAACCTCCGTGGTTGTTCTGACAAAAGCTTAGTCTTCTCACATTCATGAAGTCTAATGATGGGTATACTGTAAAATCCAAGTTTAACGGAACCTCCGGCAGGATTTGAACATCCATTGACCCAGCAGGAGATGACCATTTTCAACTTTATCACGACATTAACACGTTTCAGCTTCTTTTTCTATTGTTTTGCCCACAGCATGCCAACACAAATGGCGCCGGGTCGGCAAATCCCCGTATGTAGTGACGTCATGTGGGAACTATGTATACTGCGAGGCGCTCTCTCCACACACACACACGTTACCTGGTGGGTCCCTTTGACAGGGCCGTTCAGAATGGGACCCATAGACATAATCTTTTTTTACTGGGACTACTTTAATTAATACAAAACAGTCAATAGAAACCAAACAACTATTAAAGGAATTTTATTTTAGATTTTTTTTTCGAATTGCAGTGATTCTATTTTTGACATAGAATTTAATGCCACTCCATGTCCGATGTCTAAGGTCATCTGGTGAGGCATTAATGCAGGCCAGGCAGTGAGACTTCTGTAACAACTGCTTTGTTATTAAAAGGTAATAAATTCGATAAGTGTAATAGTATTGGGTTATTGATCAGAAGAGTCTAGGGTCGGCTGCGGGAGGATAGGCTCAGTAAATGACAGTACAAAAAGGTAAGTTGATGTAAAGTGTATTATACAAACAAAAGTGAAACCAATGAACAAATATTTACAATGAATACCGGTAAAAGCAAAAGAAATGAATCAAAGTTCAATAATAGGCATAGGTCAATAGGTCAATAGGCATTTGTTCATGTCTCTTGCCGGAACTCCACCCCTCTTCACTGCGTGCTGCAATGCGACTTGGAGCCGTTGCAGGTAAGTAGACGGTTCCTCCCCAGCATTTTGGTAAGTGTCCAGAAACTTAGCATAGAGTTCATCCCCATCTTGTACGGTACCATGTGCAGAATCCAGGTGTTGTAGATAGATCTCCGGAGTTGTGTCGGAACAAAGGTGTTTTACAATGTCAGCGGCCGGAGGTAGAAGACTATCCCGAATTGACCTGGTGCGTTGAAGATCTGACATGGATGGGTCCTGCAGAATTAGTTCCACAGCACACCGCCACGTATCATAGTCAGTTTCATGCGTTGGCCTTGGCACTTTCCCAGAGAATGTCCGTAAGCGTTGCGATGGATGGTATTGCAGGTGCTGGTCCCCACTCCGGACAACATGTTCCACCACATAACGTTGGACCTCAGGTGGATTCAACTCACTTTGCGTCATATGGATCGTGGACCGCCTCTCCTGGATTCCTTCTGTAAAAGCGTTAGCTGCAGACGAGGAAGGAAGGGCTGTTGCTGATGGACTCTCAGAAAGTTTTATATTAACATCTGCAGTCGATGTAGTGGTTGAGGCACCGGCTTGTGTATCAGGGGATTCGAGTTCAGCAATGGACTGACTGAGTTGGACCAGCATATCTCTTAGTACCTCAGGGTATTGTTTCCCGGACTTCTTTGCGACTGCTTTGAGGTCTGCCAGATAAGAGTTTGTCTTCAAACCACAAATTCTGCCAATGCTCTGGCTGCCAAATGACGGGACATTTTGTGGCATTGACATTGAACAGTAGAGGCAGAAGTGCCTCTTGCTGTAAACTCGCCCCCCATTTTTCTTCTTTTGCAGCTGCATGATAACAATCTTATTTGCCTTTGGTTCGTCACTTTCCGAGTCTTGAAGAAAAGTGTTTTTGATTTTTCTTTTTCCATACTTTTTTTCAGGTTTCTTCTTGACAGTTAAATCGTCAGAATCAGAGTCGACTTCATCAATTAGGGACTCTTGACTAAGCTGCACAAACAACAAATAATTTGTAATCATTCTATATAACAATTTGAAGTCATGACTTGTAGTCAGCACTTACCAGTGGTTTGTAAGCGTGCGCTTCAGTGTGCTCCTCCATGATTTCTTGCAGCCTAATGAACCACACACTTGCACCTTTTCTAGCCTGACACCTGATTTCCTCTGTTGTGCTGCTCCATGATTGGCTCCAGCCTGCTGGACTGAAATTGCCCCAGTGTGCCCCTCCTTGATATTCCGCAACCCACCACCAGGGTTCCGACACATAACACACTTTTTTCAGGAAAGTAAACCTCCAGGGGTCCTTTCCATATTTTTACAGAGACTGCATAAGGACCGTTAGAAAAGCATTACCCATTGATTATTAAGCTTGGACCAGTGGGGTCCGGTGTTCGGACCTCACCACGTAAAACCAGTCCCCATGACGTGAGTGGAATCTCAGGTTATGGAACCCACCAGGAGTTGAAAACAAGTACAGACAGACAGACAGACAGACAGACAGACAGACAGACAGACAGGCAGGCAGGCAGGCAGGCAGGCAGGCAGGCAGGCAGGCAGGCAGGCAGGCAGGCAGGCAGGCAGGCAGGCAGGCAGGCAGGCAGGCAGGCAGGCAGGCAGGCAGGCAGGCAGGCAGGCAGGCAGGCAGGCAGGCAGGCAGGCAGGCAGGCAGGCAGGCAGGCAGGCAGGCAGGCAGGCAGGCAGGCAGGCAGGCAGGCAGGCAGGCAGGCAGGCAGGCAGGCAGGCAGGCAGGCAGGCAGGCAGGCAGGCAGGCAGGCAGGCAGGCAGGCAGGCAGGCAGGCAGGCAGGCAGGCAGGCAGGCAGGCAGGCAGGCAGGCAGGCAGGCAGGCAGGCAGGCAGGCAGGCAGGCAGGCAGGCAGGCAGGCAGGCAGGCAGGCAGGCAGGCAGGCAGGCAGGCAGGCAGGCAGGCAGGCAGGCAGGCAGGCAGGCAGGCAGGCAGGCAGGCAGGCAGGCAGGGCAGGCAGGCAGGCAGGCAGGCAGGCAGGCAGGCAGGCAGGCAGGCAGGCAGGCAGGCAGGCAGGCAGGCAGGCAGGCAGGCAGGCAGGCAGGCAGGCAGGCAGGCAGGCAGGCAGGCAGGCAGGCAGGCAGGCAGGCAGGCAGGCAGGCAGGCAGGCAGGCAGGCAGGCAGGCAGGCAGGCAGGCAGGCAGGCAGGCAGGCAGGCAGGCAGGCAGGCAGGCAGGCAGGCAGGCAGGCAGGCAGGCAGGCAGGCAGGCAGGCAGGCAGGCAGGCAGGCAGGCAGGCAGGCAGGCAGGCAGGCAGGCAGGCAGGCAGGCAGGCAGGCAGGCAGGCAGGCAGGCAGGCAGGCAGGCAGGCAGGCAGGCAGGCAGGCAGGCAGGCAGGCAGGCAGGCAGGCAGGCGCAGGCAGGCAGCAGGCAGGCAGGCAGGCAGGCAGGCAGGCAGGCAGGCAGGCAGGCAGGCAGGCAGGCAGGCAGGCAGGCAGGCAGGCAGGCAGCAGGCAGGCAGGCAGGCAGGCAGGCAGGCAGGCAGGCAGGCAGGCAGGCAGGCAGGCAGGCAGGCAGGCAGGCAGGCAGGCAGGCAGGCAGGCAGGCAGGCAGGCAGGCAGGCAGGCAGGCAGGCAGGCAGGCAGGCAGGCAGGCAGGCAGGCAGGCAGGCAGGCAGGCAGGCAGGCAGGCAGGCAGGCAGGCAGGCAGGCAGGCAGGCAGGCAGGCAGGCAGGCAGGCAGGCAGGCAGGCAGGCAGGCAGGCAGGCAGGCAGGCAGGCAGGCAGGCAGGCAGGCAGGCAGGCAGGCAGGCAGGCAGGCAGGCAGGCAGGCAGGCAGGCAGGCAGGCAGGCAGGCAGGCAGGCAGGCAGGCAGGCAGGCAGGCAGGCAGGCAGGCAGGCAGGCAGGCAGGCAGGGCAGGCAGGCAGGCAGGCAGGCAGGCAGGCAGGCAGGCAGGCAGGCAGGCAGGCAGGCAGGCAGGCAGGCAGGCAGGCAGGCAGGCAGGCAGGCAGGCAGGCAGGCAGGCAGGCAGGCAGGCAGGCAGGCAGGCAGGCAGGCAGGCAGGCAGGCAGGCAGGCAGGCAGGCAGGCAGGCAGGCAGGCAGGCAGGCAGGCAGGCAGGCAGGCAGGCAGGCAGGCAGGCAGGCAGGCAGGCAGGCAGGCAGGCAGGCAGGCAGGCAGGCAGGCAGGCAGGCAGGCAGGCAGGCAGGCAGGCAGGCAGGCAGGCAGGCAGGCAGGCAGGCAGGCAGGCAGGCAGGCAGGCAGGCAGGCAGGCAGGCAGGCAGGCAGGCAGGCAGGCAGGCAGGCAGGCAGGCAGGCAGGCAGGCAGGCAGGCAGGCAGGCAGGCAGGCAGGCAGGCAGGCAGGCAGGCAGGCAGGCAGGCAGGCAGGCAGGCAGGCAGGCAGGCAGGCAGGCAGGCAGGCAGGCAGGCAGGCAGGCAGGCAGGCAGGCAGGCAGGCAGGCAGGCAGGCAGGCAGGCAGGCAGGCAGGCAGGCAGGCAGGCAGGCAGGCAGGCAGGCAGGCAGGCAGGCAGGCAGGCAGGCAGGCAGGCAGGCAGGCAGGCAGCAGGCAGGCAGGCAGGCAGGCAGGCAGGCAGGCAGGCAGGCAGGCAGGCAGGCAGGCAGGCAGGCAGGCAGGCAGGCAGGCAGGCAGGCAGGCAGGCAGGCAGGCAGGCAGGCAGGCAGGCAGGCAGGCAGGCAGGCAGGCAGGCAGGCAGGCAGGCAGGCAGGCAGGCAGGCAGGCAGGCAGGCAGGCAGGCAGGCAGGCAGGCAGGCAGGCAGGCAGGCAGGCAGGCAGGCAGGCAGGCAGGCAGGCAGGCAGGCAGGCAGGGCAGGCAGGCAGGCAGGCAGGCAGGCAGGCAGGCAGGCAGGCAGGCAGGCAGGCAGGCAGGCAGGCAGGCAGGCAGGCAGGCAGGCAGGCAGGCAGGCAGGCAGGCAGGCAGGCAGGCAGGCAGGCAGGCAGGCAGGCAGGCAGGCAGGCAGGCAGGCAGGCAGGCAGGCAGGCAGGCAGGCAGGCAGGCAGGCAGGCAGGCAGGCAGGCAGGCAGGCAGGCAGGCAGGCAGGCAGGCAGGCAGGCAGGCAGGCAGGCAGGCAGGCAGGCAGGCAGGCAGGCAGGCAGGCAGGCAGGCAGGCAGGCAGGCAGGCAGGCAGGCAGGCAGGCAGGCAGGGCAGAGGCAGGCAGGCAGGCAGGCAGGCAGGCAGGCAGGCAGGCAGGCAGGCAGGCAGGCAGGCAGGCAGGCAGGCAGGCAGGCAGGCAGGCAGGCAGGCAGGCAGGCAGGCAGGCAGGCAGGCAGGCAGGCAGGCAGGCAGGCAGGCAGGCAGGCAGGCAGGCAGGCAGGCAGGCAGGCAGGCAGGCAGGCAGGCAGGCAGGCAGGCAGGCAGGCAGGCAGGCAGGCAGGCAGCAGGCAGGCAGGCAGGCAGGCAGGCAGGCAGGCAGGCAGGCAGGGCAGGCAGGCAGGCAGGCAGGCAGGCAGGCAGGCAGGCAGGCAGGCAGGCAGGCAGGCAGGCAGGCAGGCAGGCAGGCAGGCAGGCAGGCAGGCAGGCAGGCAGGCAGGCAGGCAGGCAGGCAGGCAGGCAGGCAGGCAGGCAGGCAGGCAGGCAGGCAGGCAGGCAGGCAGGCAGGCAGGCAGCAGGCAGGCAGGCAGGCAGGCAGGCAGGCAGGCAGGCAGGCAGGCAGGCAGCAGGCAGGCAGGCAGGCAGGCAGGCAGGCAGGCAGGCAGGCAGGCAGGCAGGCAGGCAGGCAGGCAGGCAGGCAGGCAGGCAGGCAGGCAGGCAGGCAGGCAGGCAGGCAGGCAGGCAGGCAGGCAGGCAGGCAGGCAGGCAGGCAGGCAGGCAGGCAGGCAGGCAGGCAGGCAGGCAGGCAGGGCAGGCAGGCAGGCAGGCAGGCAGGCAGGCAGGCAGGCAGGCAGGCAGGCAGGCAGGCAGGCAGGCAGGCAGGCAGGCAGGCAGGCAGGCAGGCAGGCAGGCAGGCAGGCAGGCAGGCAGGCAGGCAGGCAGGCAGGCAGGCAGGCAGGCAGGCAGGCAGGCAGGCAGGCAGGCAGGCAGGCAGGCAGGCAGGCAGGCAGGCAGGCAGGCAGGCAGGCAGGCAGGCAGGCAGGCAGGCAGGCAGGCAGGCAGGCAGGCAGGCAGGCAGGCAGGCAGGCAGGCAGGCAGGCAGGCAGGCAGGCAGGCAGGCAGGCAGGCAGGCAGGCAGGCAGCAGCAGGCAGGCAGGCAGGCAGGCAGGCAGGCAGGCAGGCAGGCAGGCAGGCAGGCAGGCAGGCAGGCAGGCAGGCAGGCAGGCAGGCAGGCAGGCAGGCAGGCAGGCAGGCAGGCAGGCAGGCAGGCAGGCAGGCAGGCAGGCAGGCAGGCAGGCAGGCAGGCAGGCAGGCAGGCAGGCAGGCAGGCAGGCAGGCAGGCAGGCAGGCAGGCAGGCAGGCAGGCAGGCAGGCAGGCAGGCAGGCAGGCAGGCAGGCAGGCAGGCAGGCAGGCAGGCAGGCAGGCAGGCAGGCAGGCAGGCAGGCAGGCAGGCAGCAGGCAGGCAGGCAGGCAGGCAGGCAGGCAGGCAGGCAGGCAGGCAGGCAGGCAGGCAGGCAGGCAGGCAGGCAGGCAGGCAGGCAGGCAGGCAGGCAGGCAGGCAGGCAGGCAGCAGGCAGGCAGGCAGGCAGGCAGGCAGGCAGGCAGGCAGGCAGGCAGGCAGGCAGGCAGGCAGGCAGGCAGGCAGGCAGGCAGGCAGGCAGGCAGGCAGGCAGGCAGGCAGGCAGGCAGGCAGGCAGGCAGGCAGGCAGGCAGGCAGGCAGGCAGGCAGGCAGGCAGGCAGGCAGGCAGGCAGGCAGGCAGGCAGGCAGGCAGGCAGGCAGGCAGGCAGGCAGGCAGGCAGGCAGGCAGGCAGGCAGGCAGGCAGGCAGGCAGGCAGGCAGGCAGGCAGGCAGGCAGGCAGGCAGGCAGGCAGGCAGGCAGGCAGGCAGGCAGGCAGGCAGGCAGGCAGGCAGGCAGGCAGGCAGGCAGGCAGGCAGGCAGGCAGGCAGGCAGGCAGGCAGGCAGGCAGGCAGGCAGGCAGGCAGGCAGGCAGGAGCAGGCAGGCAGGCAGGCAGGCAGGCAGGCAGGCAGGCAGGCAGGCAGGCAGGCAGGCAGGCAGGCAGGCAGGCAGGCAGGCAGGCAGGCAGGCAGGCAGGCAGGCAGGCAGGCAGGCAGGCAGGCAGGCAGGCAGGCAGGCAGGCAGGCAGGCAGGCAGGCAGGCAGGCAGGCAGGCAGGCAGGCAGGCAGGCAGGCAGGCAGGCAGGCAGGCAGGCAGGCAGGCAGGCAGGCAGGCAGGCAGGCAGGCAGGCAGGCAGGCAGGCAGGCAGGCAGGCAGGCAGGCAGGCAGGCAGGCAGGCAGGCAGGCAGGCAGGCAGGCAGGCAGGCAGGCAGGCAGGCAGGCAGGCAGGCAGGCAGGCAGGCAGGCAGGCAGGCAGGCAGGCAGGCAGGCAGGCAGGCAGGCAGGCAGGCAGGCAGGCAGGCAGGCAGGCAGGCAGGCAGGCAGGCAGGCAGGCAGGCAGGCAGGCAGGCAGCAGGCAGGCAGGCAGGCAGGCAGGCAGGCAGGCAGGCAGGCAGGCAGGCAGGCAGGCAGGCAGGCAGGCAGGCAGGCAGGCAGGCAGGCAGGCAGGCAGGCAGGCAGGCAGCAGGCAGGCAGGCAGGCAGGCAGGCAGGCAGGCAGGCAGGCAGGCAGGCAGGCAGGCAGGCAGGCAGGCAGGCAGGCAGGCAGGCAGGCAGGCAGGCAGGCAGGCAGGCAGGCAGGCAGGCAGGCAGGCAGGCAGGCAGGCAGGCAGGCAGGCAGGCAGGCAGGCAGGCAGGCAGGCAGGCAGGCAGGCAGGCAGGCAGGCAGGCAGGCAGGCAGGCAGGCAGGCAGGCAGGCAGGCAGGCAGGCAGGCAGGCAGGCAGGCAGGCAGGCAGGCAGGCAGGCAGGCAGGCAGGCAGGCAGGCAGGCAGGCAGGCAGGCAGGCAGGCAGGCAGGCAGGCAGGCAGGCAGGCAGGCAGGCAGGCAGGCAGGCAGGCAGGCAGGCAGGCAGGCAGGCAGGCAGGCAGGCAGGCAGGCAGGCAGGCAGGCAGGCAGGCAGGCAGGCAGGCAGGCAGGCAGGCAGGCAGGCAGGCAGGCAGGCAGGCAGGCAGGCAGGCAGGCAGGCAGGCAGGGCAGGCAGGCAGGCAGGCAGGCAGGCAGGCAGGCAGGCAGGCAGGCAGGCAGGCAGGCAGGCAGGCAGGCAGGCAGGCAGGCAGGCAGGCAGGCAGGCAGGCAGGCAGGCAGGCAGGCAGGCAGGCAGGCAGGCAGGCAGGCAGGCAGGCAGGCAGGCAGGCAGGCAGGCAGGCAGGCAGGCAGGCAGGCAGGCAGGCAGGCAGGCAGGCAGGCAGGCAGGCAGGCAGGCAGGCAGGCAGGCAGGCAGGCAGGCAGGCAGGCAGGCAGGCAGGCAGGCAGGCAGGCAGGCAGGCAGGCAGGCAGGCAGGCAGGCAGGCAGGCAGGCAGGCAGGCAGGCAGGCAGGCAGGCAGGCAGGCAGGCAGGCAGGCAGGCAGGCAGGCAGGCAGGGCAGGCAGGCAGGCAGGCAGGCAGGCAGGCAGGCAGGCAGGCAGGCAGGCAGGCAGGCAGGCAGGCAGGCAGGCAGGCAGGCAGGCAGGCAGGCAGGCAGGCAGGCAGGCAGGCAGGCAGGCAGGCAGGCAGGCAGGCAGGCAGGCAGGCAGGCAGGCAGGCAGGCAGGCAGGCAGGCAGGCAGGCAGGCAGGCAGGCAGGCAGGCAGGCAGGCAGGCAGGCAGGCAGGCAGGCAGGCAGGCAGGCAGGCAGGCAGGCAGGCAGGCAGGCAGGCAGGCAGGCAGGCAGGCAGGCAGGCAGGCAGGCAGGCAGGCAGGCAGGCAGGCAGGCAGGCAGGCAGGCAGGCAGGCAGGCAGGCAGGCAGGCAGGCAGGCAGGCAGGCAGGCAGGCAGGCAGGCAGGCAGGCAGGCAGGCAGGCAGGCAGGCAGGCAGGCAGGCAGGCAGGCAGGCAGGCAGGCAGGCAGGCAGGCAGGCAGGCAGGCAGGCAGGCAGGCAGGCAGGCAGGCAGGCAGGCA